ACATGCGCTATTGAGCAATTATCGTCTAATATTTATTTTTCACACGTCTGAAGGGAACAGATGAAAGAAAACTATTAGTCGAGATAAACAAAGGATAATAGTTTGAAAATAACTGTTGGGGCTGAAATTTTACATCGAGATACTGAAAATATCGAAATAAAAATATCGAGATAAACAAATATTTCCAATATAGATAAAGAAGGAAGAAAATCGGGACTTTCAAAATTTCATCGAGATAACGAAATATCGAGAAAAGCGATGTCGAGATAACGATAGTTGACTGTATGAGTAAATTAAATTGCCAGAAATACGATGTGTGAATATCTGTGCAGTTATAAGAGAAACTCAAATTAAGAAGGAACATATTTTTATTTTAACAGTGTTTAAAAGAAGGAGAAAACAAATTGCGGCGTCGAGTGTGTGTGTGAACATTTTCCCGAAAGATGAATGCCTTCATCCGTACTTAATGGCTTCGATTCCCCGCTTGGGAATATTTTTATTTTAAGTATAATATGAGTAAATTAAATTGCCAGAAATACGATGTGTGAATATCTGTGCAGTTATAAGAGAAACTCAAATTAAGAAGGAACATATTTTTATTTTAACAGTGTTTTAAAGAAGGAGAAAACAAATTGCGGCGTCGAGTGTGTGTGTGAACATTTTCCCGAAAGATGAATGCCTTCATCCTTACTTAATGGCTTCATCTTTTTGTTATCTCGAGTTAGGTATTTTATAAACTGCTATTATTATACATGTTGTGTGGAAAGGTATAATCTTCCAAACTTAATCTGTTTTCAATGATTATTGTGTCATTTACTGCTCGCTCTATGTATTTCTTGATTTTGTTCTGCGCTTTAAACCATCATATTCACTTAAAGATGTATGTGACAAAAGTATTTTTCCTATGTGAAATAGAAAAATTGATAAAATGCTCCCCGGCGGGGAATCGAACCCCGGTCTCCCGCGTGACAGGCGGGGATACTCACCACTATACTACTGAGGACACACAAGTCACTCTAACACGAGTTTTAGAAAAAGGGAACTGTTACAACACTGTTACACGAAAAATTGTATTAATCAATAAAGGTTTACAGAAAGTAGATTCTAACTTCCCAAGTGGTCTAGTGATTAGGATTCCGCGCTCTCACCGCGGCGGCCGGGGTTCGATTCCCCGCTTGGGAATATTTTTATTTTAAGTATAATATGAGTAAATTAAATTGCCAGAAATACGATGTGTGAATATCTGTGCAGTTATAAGAGAAACTCAATTAAGAAGGAACATATTTTTATTTTAACAGACCCTGTTTAAAAGAAGGAGAAAACAAATTGCGGCGTCGAGTGTGTGTGTGAACATTTTCCCGAAAGATGAATGCCTTCATCCGCGCTCTCACCGCGGCGGCCGGGGTTCGATTCTCCGCTTGGGAATATTTTTATTTTAAGTATAATATGAGTAAATTAAATTGCCAGAAATACGATGTGTGAATATCTGTACAGTTATAAGAGAAACTCAAATTAAGAAATAACATATTTTTTTTAACAGTGTTTAAAAGAAGGAGAAAAATAATTGCGGCGTCGAGCAGGGTGTGAACATTTTCCCGAAATATGAATGCCTTTATCCGTACTTAATGGCTTCATCTTTTTGTTACCTCGAGTTAGGTATTTTATAAACTGCTATAATTATACATGTTGTGTGGAAAGGTATAATCTTCCAAACTTAATCTGTTTTCAATGGTTATTGTGTCATTTACTGCTCGCTCAATGTATTTCTTGATTTTGTTCTGACGCTTTAAACCAACTTATCAATTAAAGATGCATGTGACAAAAGTATTTTTCCTATGTGAAATAGAAAAATTGATGAAATGCTCCCCGGCGGGGAATCGAACCCCGGTCTCCCGCGTGACAGGCGGGGATACTCACCACTATACTACCGAGGACACACAAGCCACTCTAATACGACTTTAAGAAAACGGGAACGGGATACTCACCACTATACTACCGAGGACACACAAGCCACTCTAATACGACTTTTAGAAAACGGGAACAGTTACAACACTGTTACACGAAAGAGTGTTTAAGTCAATAAAGCTTTACAGAAAGTAGACTCTAACTTCCCAAGTGGTCTAGTGGTTAGGATTCCGCGCTCTCACCGCGGCGGCCGGGGTTCGATTCCCCGCTTAGGAATATTTTTATTTTAAGTATATAATATGAGTAAATTAAATTGCCAGAAATACGATGTGTGAATATCTGTGCAGTTATAAGAGAAACTCAAATTAAGAAGGAAAATATTTTTATTTTAACAGTGTTTAAAAGAAGGAGAAAAAAATTGCAGCGTCGAGCAATTGTGTACATCTTCCCGAAAGATGAATGCCTTCATCCGTACTTAATGGCTTCATCTTTTTGTTACCTCGAGTTATGTATTTTATAAACTCCTATAATTATACATGTTGTGTGGAAAGGTATAATCTTCCAAACTTAATCTGTTTTCAATGGTGATTGTGTCATTTACTGCTCGCTCAATGTATTTCTTTATTTTGTTCTGACGCTTTAAACCAACTTATCAATTAAAGATGTATGTGACAAAAGTATTTTTTCCTATGTGAAATAGAAAAATTGATGAAATGCTTCCAGGCGGGGAATCGACCCCGGTCTCCCGCGTGACAGGCGGGGATACTCACCACTATACTACCGAGGACACACAAGCCACTCTAATACGACTTTTAGAAAACGGGAACAGTTACAACACTGTTACACGAAAGAGTGTTTAAATCAATAAAGCTTTACAGAAAGTAGACTCTAACTTCCCAAGTGGTCTAGTGGTTAGGATTCCGCGCTCTCACCGCGGCGGCCGGGGTTCGATTCCCCGCTTGGGAATATTTTTATTTTAAGTATAATATGAGTAAATTAAATTGCCAGAAATACGATGTGTGAATATCTGTGCAGTTATAAGAGAAACTCAAATTAAGAAGGAAAATATTTTTATTTTAACAGTGTTTAAAAGAAGGAGAAAATAATTGCAGCGTCGAGCAATTGTGTACATCTTCCCGAAAGATGAATGCCTTCATCCGTACTTAATGGCTTCATCTTTTTGTTACCTCGAGTTAGGTATTTTATAAACTCCTATAATTATACATGTTGTGTGGAAAGGTATAATCTTCCAAACTTAATCTGTTTTCAATGGTTATTGTGTCATTTACTGCTCGCTCAATGTATTTCTTGATTTTGTTCTGACGCTTTAAACCAACTTATCAATTAAAGATGCATGTGACAAAAGTATTTTTCCTATGTGAAATAGAAAAATTGATGAAATGCTCCCCGGCGGGGAATCGAACCCCGGTCTCCCGCGTGACAGGCGGGGATACTCACCACTATACTACCGAGGACACACAAGCCACTCTAACACGACTTTTAGAAAACGGGAACGGTTACAACACTGTTACACGAAAGAGTGTATTAATCAATAAAGCTTTACAGAAAGTAGACCCTAACTTCCCAAGTGGTCTAGTGGTTAGGATTCCGCGCTCTCACCGCGGCGGCCGGGGTTCGATTCCCCGCTTGGGAATATTTTTATTTTAAGTATAATATGAGTAAATTAAATTGCCAGAAATACGATGTGTGAATATCTGTACAGTTATAAGAGAAACTCAAATTAAGAAGGAAAATATTTTTATTTTAACAGTGTTTAAAAGAAGGAGAAAAAAATTGCAGCGTCGAGCAGGGTGTGAACATTTTCCCGAAAGATGAATGCCTTCATCCGTACTTAATGGCTTCATCTTTTTGTTACCTCGAGTTAGGTATTTTATAAACTGCTACAATTATACATGTTGTGTGGAAAGGTATAATCTTCCAAACTTAATCTGTTTTCAATGATTATTGTGTCATTTACTGCTCGCTCTATGTATTCTGACGCTTTGAACCAACTTATTCACTTAAAGATGTATGTGACAAAAGTAATTTTTCCTATGTGAAATAGAAAAATTCACCAAACCAAATGTAAGAAACAAAATTTGTAAATGTCTGTCTCCTTAAAAGACACTTGATTTTAGAAATACATTTTTCCGTTTTGAAATATTTTGGATATTTAGACAATACCAAATAGAAATCACGTTAACTCTCTTCCCTGGATACAAATAAGGAAATTTAAGACCACGGAAAATACTAGTATGCGATGTTTTACAAATGAAATTGATAACATCGCATATATAGATAGCTTGAAATGATGTGAAACTATGATAAAGCATTCATGCTAGACAGTTGGGTAATCTCATTCTCTGTTTCCTGTAATCAGTAAGTGTAAGCATACTATATATAATTGAGCCGTGTCAAGACAAAACCAACATAATGGGTTTGCGACCAGCATGGATCCAGACCAGCCTGCGCATCCGCGCAGTCTGATCAGCATCCATGCTGTTCGCTATCAGTTTCTCTACTTGTAATAGAGTTGGTTAGCGAACAGCATGGATCCTGATCAGACTGCGCGGATGCGCAGGCTGGTCTGGATCTATGCTGGTCGCAAACCCATTATGTTGGTTTTGTCGTGACGCGGCTCAATTATGAAATGTATGTACATATGCAAAATCGAATGCGACAGCTGGCGTTTATTGATTGGTATATATAATAGTTCCACATTTATACCGTGAAAATAGTTTAATAGTTTAACATGAATTATTGTTGAATATATACGGGTGATGTGGTTATAGCTAATAGTCTAATAGATGTGAAGGATTTTATATAAAAAGATTGACTATTAACTGGTATCTGTTTCGTAAGTTTTTATTGCGTCACAATTCTTATGTTCCCTTTAAAGGTTACGACACATGGCCGTTACAGATATGTCAGCCGAAGCAGAACAAGTCTTGTTTTTATTTCTGGAAATTTCATTTCGTTATGCACGTTATTTACCCATTTTAAGTAACATACGTACGAGTACTTTGCAGAAGTTGGATATTTCCGACCTGCAGATCCGACAATCGGATCACCTCGACGAAGATTAATGGAAATGGCTGAAATGTTGCGTATGATAAGCCATGGTCGATAATTGTCGAGTAACACGGAACTTGTCAGCAATGGCTCGTTTTTAAGTTACAATGACCATGACATTATGTGCGGAAAAAAAATCACATCAGTATCAGATAATCACGCGTAGATTTAGCCTAGCCTAATTTAGTCATATGAGACATATGATACGGAGTTTCATTTCCCGATATGATTAGCAAAACATACAAAACTGGTTTATGTTGCGGATTATAGTATTTTAGCTTAATATTTGTTTAGAGAGATTTAACAAGAAAATTGGCGGTGAGTTAGTATTAATTGGTATGATAAGCTATTACATACATGAAAAATTAAACTACAATACACACAAATAATATGTATTTCTATTGCTTTTTACTTACCATCTTTAAATTATGGCGGCTGGTTTATGACATGTCGTATTTTCGCTTCGCGGGACGGTAGGCGAAAACACGAAAATACGAATACAATGTGGTTACTTTGTCTTATTTTCGAGTTTTCGTGATTTTGTCACGGGTCTTGCAGAGCGAAAGGCGAAAACAAAGCCATCATTTTGTAGTTTTTTTCATGTTTTCGTGTTTTCGTGGCAAAAACACGACATATGGCACAAATTTTGTGAAACAAAAAAAAAACATGTTCTGCTCTGATAATGTTTAATTATGTTTATATTTATAACGGATGGAAATTATATGTATATGTGTGCCAGTTGGATAAATTGACGTCCCCTTGTATTTATAAAGTTTTGTCCAAACTCACTCCCCCGCAAAGAATTCTTCTATAATGCCTTTAAAGAAAAGGGAGATCACTGCGTGGAAATTGGATGACGTCCTTGTTTATTATTTCATGATTCTCTTGATGATACTGTGAAAGAGGTAGAGGTAATATTTAATTCTATAAATGAACCATAAATGTTTGTTATCATAAATTGTTAAATATTATATAATACAAAAAAAAATGTATTACATTTTCGGTCATTTCCGTGAGACTATCGCTAATGTGCGTATGTATTCCTACCTTAAAATAAGCAAGAACACTTATTTAAGGACATTACATGCACCTCCATATCAAATTTTAATGACACAAACTCCTTTACATGTATCTTCTATCCTATAAAATAAACATTGAATTATCACCATTGTATGAAAATGTCAACGTAAGTGTATAGAGCTGAAATATTATCTCAATATTTCATAGAAATCTAACTGATGATGATTTAGGTCAAACTGATTGTTATTCACATGTATTTTGTTGTGTGTCGTCTTCACTTCTATTGTTGCTTCTTCTTCTTCTTCTGCTACTGGTAGTGCTGGTTGTTGCTGTTGTTTGTTGTTGTTGGTGGTGGTGGTGGTGATGATGATATAAATGATAATGATGATGATGATGATGATGATGTCGCATGTAAGTTTTACGTGACTTTTTAGACTTTGTATCATTATATTTCAGATTGACTATCAAAATGAATGACGCACCTCCCCCTTACCCGGGGTCGGATAATAAAGCCGAGTATCCACCACAGCATCAAGGTATAGTTTTCTTTTTCTAAGAAACAGCTGATAAACAAAAGAGCAGACGGCAATGGAACATATGAAATCAAAATGGTTTTTCTTTTTGAGTTTCTTTTTTTGGAAATACAAGCGAGGAGGTTAAACATGAAAAAAGATGTTATTATTTAAAGTAATTGAGTTGAGCTGTACTTTTTAATATTAATGTATTTTATATTCATTGTAAATAAGAAAATAGGTAAATCCTTATACCCGTATGACGTGGATCAGATCATTAAAACTCTCCATGCACATAAAGACAAACAACAACTAAATTATGGAAAAAGTCATTTAAAATCTTCATTGCCACGGATATTTATGATATAAAAAAAACAACTTTTCGTTGGCGTTTCGTTACATTCCAGTTTTTATCGTATCTTATTCTGATCAAGTTCATACAAATACAATGTACATGGACTTAGAGGTTTTTTCGGACGAATTCGTCTGAAATAGGTTTGACTTCCTATAAAATTTACAGGGAAGAACTGAATATTTGCAGGATTTCCATTGGTCATTTTAAAATTGCAAACTTAAATCCGGGAATCTCATTGGCAATTCTAAAATAAGTATAATAATTTTGTTGTATTTTAGGCCAATATATGCCATATCAACAAGGTGGCGATAGCGACACGACAGTAATACTCAACCAGCCCGTAACAATAATACAGACATTCGGAGAGTGTTGTATCCGACTGAACTGTCAGTTTTGTCATGCTGACGTCATTACATCAACAGAATACGAACCTGGAACCCTCACCTGGCTGGCCTGTTTCTTGATATTTCTATTGTAAGAAATTTAAGTTTTTCTATTCACAGAAACTGAGAAGTTTTTTGTAGACGTTTTTTTCTAATGTAATAATTATGATGTGTTCCTTTAAAGAAATGCGTGTAACCTGTAATACAAGTAGGTATTGTCATACCGAAGAGTTTGATTTGCTCACATTTTTATATATAAACATTTAAAGGTGGCAGTAGTAAAATCCTATTTGCACACCACTTTTGGAAAAATATCTTGTTCAATTGTTTTAGAAACAGGATAAACGGTCAATAATGCTTTTAGATTCTTTTTTTAGATATCTCGATGAATCTTGCATTCTTTTAATTATTTACCACTTATTGCCACTGCATAAGTATTTTTAATAGAATTTAGTTTCTTATACACTCACTCTGTAAAAGTCAATGAAGACATAAGAGGCACTCTCTATGCATTATATCTATCTCAAACATAAAAATAAGACAATTGAGATTTACCGCCAATTCCGTAAAAGCATGCACACATGTAAAAAATAAGTTGTCAGAAGGGCGATGTAAAGCAGATGCTTAAAAATCACCTGCCTTAACCACTCGGCCTCGGAAGCCTCTGAATGTTAAGAAATGTAAGCATTCATACACGTCTTTTATTCAACAACTTAGGAGCATATTCCGTAAAACTTGACATTTTGATTTTGAAGCTAGTTGACAGCCTGTGTGACTTAACTTTTTCACCTGCAATTTCAGTTTCCCACTGGGCTGCTGCCTGATACCATTCTGTATAGATGGAACAAAAGATGTCGTCCATCGGTGTCCAAATTGTGGTGTAGAGGTCGGAAGGTTCAAACGGATGTAGCGTTGTGCTCAATTTTTGATGACGAAATGGACAATACAACGACTTTTCTTATATGATTTGAGGATGAATGTTTTGCTGTTTAAAGACGGCGGGACTATATTATGATTGTCGCAGACGATTATTTTGAGTATGTACAATGAAAATTACACGTACATGTGTATGTGATATACATCGTAATATATTATTAACTTTAAACCAGCATAATATAATCATGTTTATTTCCTATGATGGACAATTTTTGCGGGGATGAAGTCACGAGTTCAACATCTTACAACGGCAAAGTTTCTTTAATGCAGGCGGAGTGGGGAGAGGGGCTGTTTCACTAATTAACCATGACAAAGTTTATTAATTTTGAACGTAGACAAATACATTCTAACGGAAGTGTAATGTAATTATGTTATGTATTTTTTTATTATTTTTTATTACAAGAAATAAGTTAAAAAATAAGATTTGTGCTCATTATTTCAAAATAATGTAGTCTTACAGTCATCTTTTTATATAATCTGTTTTACTTATTTTTTCTGTGTAATAAACTAACTAACTCATTTTATGCGTAATTGCGCGGACTGCAAACTATATATATGTATCTTAGTTATTTTTATCTGTAAAAACATGTGATCTGGCCTGAAGCCCTGTAAATATGGTATGATGTTGTAAAGGTTTATAGTTAACTTCTGGTAGCTTTTGCCAGATGACATTTTGTAAATGTCATTTTTAATGATAATAATTGTATGCCTTATTACTGTATGATTGTAGCATTATTTGTAGTTGTGATATTGAAACTTACTGTAACATAAGTACATTGTAACACAAGTATTTAAAACATGGGAAATAAATAGCGTACATAGTTATTGTATGAAACTTTGAACTTTTATTCTTTTATTTATTACCTATTTATCAATTTGTGTTTGGATACATTTGGATAACGAAAATGAATTTTAAACAGTTAGTGAAACAAGAAGAAAAGGTAAGACTTGTTTGGAATAGGGTTAGATAAAAACATTGATTTTATAGCCGTAAACGGGCAATATTCCATTCTAAATTGAGAATATTTTTATTACAGAATTTTTTTAATAATACAGTTAAACGAATTGTGCTTCCCCTTGTAAAATTTTTGAGCTGTTTTTATCTACATACATTGTACATGTATAGAAACAAACTTTTCACCAGTTTCAGCGAAATAAAGTCACCACCTCACAAATGGGTAAAATTCAATATTGGTAGCAAAGCACCACTTAATTATTTCATCTACATATAAGAACAATGTATTTAGTACAGTCGCTATGGCGTTATACTCTTTTTCGAAAATAGCAGACCACCTCATGTGTAAAATCCCAATTTCGAGTTAAACGCCACAATATGCTTTCAGCTACATTAAAGGTCGATATTTTCACCGTTGGACCTTATTTAATCGACCACCGGACATGTAGATTTATCAATTTTGAGCACAGACAAGATTAAGTGTACTCAAATAAAGGGTATGCTCAAAAAGTGCTTGATTAAAGACGATAGCTTTATCGTAAAGCAGACGGTCAGACGAAAATCGTTATAAACAAGAGCACTACTTTTAGATAGGAATGAAAATACTACTATTCAAAATTTAAGCAACAAAAATAAAAGAAAAAAGATATCAAAGGGAATATAAGACGTATATGGCAACTTTATTTGCATGTATCTTTTATCCAAAAGCAAATGTTTATTGTAAATAAAAACGAAAAAAGAAAATCATGTGTGATACTTGAATTAGAATCTGTTGGAATTAATGTCAATAAATGTCAGATTTGTAATTAATGAGAAGTGACAAGAAATTAAATCTCAAACTAATCAGCGTTGATTTACCCTGAATGAATTCTACAGCTACAATACAAATCAATCTTTATGATATTTTCGCGCCGTGTGAGCAGAATAAAAACCCGGATTAATTCCGTTCTCTTTCCGATCACATTCGGTTTGTTTGACATAAAAATAAACAACTCGTTCTTTGGTATTGACTTAGCAAGTTAATTAATTACAGCGTAACATGTTTCTCGGGTCGTGTCCATTGAATGAGAACGACTGGGGACATTACGGCAGCGTTTCTTTCACAGCATCTTGTGAAGTGGTGTATTGCATGGGACGCCACAGGTATTGTAGATGTAGAAAATTATGTTCAATTATGTTATATACAAAGATATTGTGTACAAGTAGCGTGAAAATAATTCATTTTTGGGACATCAAAATTAATTCTAGCGCCAAGACAGAATAAGCACGCAACCATGATACTTTCACTGAAGACTTAAAGACTTAAGACTATATAGTTGTAAGTTATATGGTGGCAGACGAGACATTGCGCTATAACAGACATGGTAACCAATTTTTAATTATTTTATCCTAATTTTTCTTAAATATAGCCCGTATACCATTTGTACCAAAATAAATTGTAATAGATTCATTGAGAAAATTACATATGGAAACTTTATTGAAGGAGCTTTACATCCGTAATTTTGTTAAAGAAACTACATTGTAAACATGTGTTTCTTTGGTAAAGAAATGACACATTTGCTTCTTAATTAATTAAAAGAAATATACATCGGCATATGTTAAGCGTAATTCATATTTTAAATCGAGTTACCTAGTACAGACTGTGTGATAGGTTTCTTGCTATACATCATAGTACACGTGGCAAGTTTTAAATGTGGTGACTTAGTTGAGAGCAATGGATATTGTTATTCTGGTAAAGACAACATAGTTGAAAGCAATACACATTGACCCTTAGTTGAGAAAATAGTTGCAAAATGACATTAAGGTAACTTCGTTTTAAGCAATTCACACTTAGGAGAGAGCAATGCATACTTAGTTGAAATAGTACACAATGTAAACTTAACCCATTAATAACCTAGTTGAGAACAATATGCTTTGACTACTTAGTTGAGAGTAATACACAGTTTCAAGCTTAAATATTTGAAAACAATACACATTGAAAAATTATTTGCGAGCAATACACAGTTGGAGCTTAGTTGAGAGCAAAGCACAGTGGCAACTTAATTAAGAAAAAATACACAGTTGCAACTACGAAATTTGTAGAACAATACACATTGATAGCGTAGTTGAGAGAAATACACAGTTGCATTTTAGCTGAGAGCAATACACAGTGGCAATATAGTTGAGAGCAATACATAGTGGCAACTTCATTTAGAGAAATAAACAGTTGCAACTACGACATTAGTAGCTTAACTGAGAGCAAAAAACTGTTGCAACATAGTTGAGAGCAATACACAGTTGCAACTTAGTTGAGAGCAGTACACAGTTGTATTTTAGATGAGTGCAATACACAGTTACAACTTAGTTGAGAGCAATACACTGTTGCAACTTTGTTGAGAGCAATACACAGTTGCAACTTAGTTGAGAGCAGTACACAGTTGTATTTTAGATGAGTGTAATACACAGTTACAACTTAGTTGAGAGCAATACACTGTTGCAACTTAGTTGAGAGCAATACACTGTTGCAACTTATTCAGAGCAGTACACAGTTGCATTTTAGTTAAGAGCAATACACCGTGGCAACTTCATTTAGCAAAAAATCACAGTGGCAACTACGATATTTGTAGAACAACACACATTGAAAGCGTAGTTGAGAGAAATAAACAGTGGTAACTTGAAATGTTTTTGAGACTTTTGATTTTAGTATAGAGTATGTTTCGGCTGGGTTACATGGCCTTGACGACAGAAAACACAATATACACGTAAACATGTATTGAGCAGGAGTAAACAATCAAAGTAGCGCATTTCTTCACAATATTCACTAATATTGATAAATACATTTTTAATTTCAACAAAACAATGATATCTAATCCGACTTTAAACAACTAAGCTTCGAATTTCTCTATTCATATAAACCCCACCCCCTTATTAAATTGTCTATGTCGCTTGTTTCCCGTGAAATTTAAAACATTATATAAATTAATTGTCTAGGGTTGTCGGGGTAAATTTAAAAATCATATATACACACTGTATACTGTAATACATTTTGGCAATAGTTGCACGAATGATAAACGCAATCTGGATTTATCAATGACATTGGGTGAATAAAACCGAGATATATAAATAGATATGAATTCATGGCTAAAGCTTAATTACACGGATATCATGTAAATTTAAATGGTAAAATACTTTAGGTATACATGACGTGTTAAAGCTTCGATTTAGTTTACAAAATGTTTCAAACATAGACGGAATAGTTTAAAAACGATGTAAGTTCTTTTTTGTATTTGTCTTTTTCATAGGGTCGCCAAAATACAAAAAACCGGTGGGGATATATTTCAACGACAAGTACATGAATTCATGATTTCAACATCATGAATTCACGATTTCAACTTCGCGGATTCACATTTTAAACATCACTATCTAAATTTCACAAATTCACGATATCAACTTCACGAATTCACGAATTCAACTTCATGAATTTGTGTTTGAACATCACGATTTCAACTTCACGAATTCAAGATTTTATCTTCACGAAGTTGAAATCGTGAAGTCATAAAGTTGAAAGTGTGAATTCGTGAAGATGAACCCGAGAATTCAAGAAGTTGAAATGTCACCACCGTTTTTTCATTCTAAAATGTAATCCACAGTAACTCTTTGACTGATTGCTGCAGTAATTGCTACTTGTTTTTGCTACCAACTTGGCTGTTTTTCTTTATAGTGCACAATTTTATCATGCTGATCAAAAATAATTCCACTTTTTAATCATCATTTTTGAAAATAAAGAAGTTTTGATCTTTATAGACTGACTTTGGTTGCACCGATCAAAATTATTACATTTTCAAATTAAACGTAAAAGGCTGATATCGAAATTTAACATGGTAAGGCTGAAATAAATTCCACATGTATTTCTAATTAACATTTTGATCATTTTGCTGAACATAGAAATTTTGATACTCATGTTTGATAATGCTGTATGCATATTTTAAATTTCTTATAGTATATAGTTCTTTGTGTACATGATACATGTACACATTTGGGGTTATTATATTCTGATACAATGAAAAACAGTTTCAATATATACGACCATGAACACAAAACAAAATGACACAGCCCCGTTAGCTGAATTACCTCAAAAGGGAAAACTATGGAGAGTATGGATCTTTAATATAGAGGTCGCTCGTTCGATCCTGGAGCGTGGCGAAATTTCAACTTGGTCTGTCTAATGGTTATTTGCCATTCAGAAATCATGTAAGGTTAGTAGTCAAGTCACTTGCGGAGAAATTGGTAATTACTGGTTAGTTATCTAGAAAAGTCTGTTAGGTGGATCGACCGCCGAGATATGACCCAAAATTTGATCAAACTGGCGTAAAAAAAACAACAGACAAACAAAAATATGGCTTGTTACCGAGTAGTTTATAAATTAGTGTGTATGTATGGACTTTACGGACTCATTGGTGCAATGTCTACCTGACCCCAATATATTTACCTTTTTAATCTAGTTAACATTTTTTATTAGCCTCAACTGTCGGTTTGCATGTCAATATCTATATAAAATGACTTTTAAATGATATAAAATGACTTTTAAATGATGAGTTCGTGGAATTTCGGCAAACTCCGTAACGTCCCTTGTCTTAGAGAGGTGACGAAAAATAGATAGAAACATTGACGAAGTTTGACGAATTTATACGAACTTTTGATGGATTTAAAAAAATTCGTTTAATATATGAAAGTATAGCTTTAAAATTGTTAATAAATGGACATTTATCTAACAATTGTGAAGTGATATCTTATGGTCCGGATGCATATCATCTTAATTTAATACATGTATATTATAATACAAATACAGTTGTTTACTCGTTTTATCAGTCGATAACACAACAGATACATGTACGTGTCAATCTGTAAGCAAGAAAGAAAGAAAGAGAAAGAAAGAAAGTTAGCATGTAAGCAAGCAAGTGAGTGAGCGGGTAAGTTAGTAAGTATGCTAGTAAGTTAGTAAGCAAGCAAGCAAACAAATAAACAAGAAGCAAGCAAGACAATACAAGTGCATGTCATATAATAAAACAATACTTAGAAACGTTATAAATAAAGAAAATAAGCACCCGGCTCGATTGGTTCGTCAGTTTGAAACATGAATGTTCACAAAGTAATGATATAAAAACAAATGGCATGAAATATTTTGATGCATATAGTATAAACGTATTCATTTATAGTACATGTATCATATTTTGTTTATATATATATTGCTTATCAATAATAGACTCTATCTGGAATATGCAATCATATTTTATAACTATTTTTCTGCAATTTCAATTTGATTGTTTTCACAAACCCTTTCTTGTAGAAGCTGACAAGAAAAAATCTCTTCGTAAATAATATCATTACAATGTAATAAATAACTCAGCCTTTGGAAGTTAAAAATATCTATAAGCCTCATCCGATCTTCATATTTAAACAATGAAAAGACTTAATGCTAAGTTAGTTATTTAATTAACGATACTTAGCTGTGCATATTGGAGTTTAAATAAGTGCATATTGGAGTTTAAATGACTGACTGTATTAGTTAATCAGCGATAATCATGTATAACACAAAAGAATTAAGGTTTGGCTAACATGTAGGTATTTGTGTTTTATTCTAATTTATTTTATTTTATGTTTTGTTTTAGTTGTTTACAGAATCATGCTTCACCCAACTGGATAGTGGAAATTTAATTCAATCCTTATCACGCTTAATATCTTAAATGGGCGTGTCCATCTTTTAATCTAGACAAAACCATTCATCATTTTAGGGAAAATTTTTAAAAAATATTTGAGCCTCGTCATGACAAAACAAACAAAGTGTGTTTGCGACCAGCATGGATCCAGACCAGCCTGCGCATCCGCGCAGTCTGGTCAGAACTCATGCTGTTCGTTTACAAACCCTGTTACAAGTAGAAAAACTGATAGCGAACAGCATGGATCCTGATCAGACTGCGCAGGCTGGTCTGGATCCATGCTGGTCGCAAACCCATAATGTTGGTTTTGTCATGACGCGGCTCATTTACTGACTGAATAGCGAACCGTGCGTACCATGATAAGACGGCGGTTTGTCTCGGTCAGCACTGGATTTGTTGCCGCCAGCAGCAAATAAAGAATACATGTATTTCAACCAAAAGAAGCAATTCGTACATGCATGTATGTGTCTTTGCAAACGTACAGACAATTATTTAACCCATTGTATCGTTATTTCGGTACCAAAAAATGGGACTTGAACAATAGCCGCACATGACATGCATGTGACTGTCATAATATTAACAAAATATTAATGTTAACCTAAAAAAAAAAAAATGTTACAGGGTGAGAAAAATGTGCAGCCTGACCGGGACTTGAACCCGGGACCCTTGGAATACCGTTTTGCGGCTTTACCGACTGAGCTATTTGGCCGCTTACACATTTTTTTTTTTAAATAGTGAACAGTTTTGAACGTGACATACTTTTTTGCGATATTGAAATTTGTTTTTTAATTTTACAGAGTTACAGAGCAATGTAAATTAAACTTTGAGTTACGGTTAGTTACGGTTTTTTGTTGGGCGCCAAATGTTACAGGGTGAGAAAAATGTGCAGCCTGACCGGGACTTGAACCCGGGATCCTTGGAACACCGTTTTGCGGCTTTACCGACTGAGCTATGTGGCCGCTTACACATTTTCTCCCCTAAATAGTGAACAGTTTTGAACCGTAACATTAATCTGGCCTAATGAAGTAGGGGTGGGGAGGGGGTGTTTGGCATTACATAATGTCAACAAGATAAAGTCTATCAAATTTCAACAGAGCAAGTTTTTTACTATACCATGGTTGTTTGGCTTGTATCACATTGATTGACGCTGTACAGTTTTAGTGACTTGTCGTCAGTTATATTTGCTTTTTCTCTCTCACTCTGAATAAGCTCACTAACCATTGATGAAATAGGATTTTATCAATTTGTCAGTATCATAAACAAGTAATATAATGTATTTAATGAGAAGTTCAGATCGGTTGAGAGACATATGAATATGCATGTTATTATAAGAAACTTGAGTCTAGATCTATTTATGTCGTTAAGAAGAGAGTACTTTAAGTTGCTATATCTTAATAAGTCATTTAGAAGTCACACGTGACATACTACTTTAGCATTGTACTCGTTAAAAATGTTCTTATATCTAAAATTAGCATACACATGCCTACCTGTACTAATATACGTGTATATGATCGTAACAGAAACATAAGTTATTTTTACCGGTTGCAACTTATTATGACCAATTGACAGTGTTTGAATTATTAATAAGATATCCGCGAGTGATCTTGCATCCATTAACACATAGATGTACACCTTTAGATATAATTTATAACAACATTTCATTTAGGATACTTCAAGTTAAGTAAATATGCTTGAAGAATTGGGTGGTGTTATTGGATATGGATTGCCTGTGAGTAAATGTAGACTTATTCAAAGTTGCTATTTTCTTACGAAATTTCATGATCATATATTATAGTTAGGGCCTATATACCTTGAAAACTATAGATTGGCATTTACAGTTTTCTTTCTGGGACATAGGGGCCTACATTGTCCTAGCACTAATAGAGTAATGGACTTGATTTATAGTTGCGCCTATTCCTAGTAACCATGGAAAGTGAAATTGAAAATATTATTCAAGTTGACAACCCTCGGGGTTTTTTTTATCTGCACGTGCACATTGAGATTTACGTGACATAGATTTTTTTTTAAATAAGATATAAATAATGGTTCTAGATTAATATATAAAAAAATAAATAAAAGGCATAGAAAATATAAACTGTGTTTGATATATGAAATTACTTTTATTAAATAATTTCCAGAATATAAGGAACTCGTCTCCCTTTAACAGTCCTATTAATATCATCTTGAATGACGTTTCAGCCACCTGTTTTACTTAGTATTACTCCGCGATACCCATCGAAAGATTGATAACAAAAATTCAATATTTATTTGAAAACTGCTATTAATATGCATTTTATATTCGTATCAACCATTATAAAAATAGTTATGACTATGATTGTTAAAGTTAAATTAAGAACTATTTTCTCAATGATGTATGTGAGTAATCCGACCCATGAGCAGCCATCTTGAAACACAAATGAGCAATATTTTGTGAATTTTGGCTTGCCGGTGTCTGAAAACTACCAAATATAGTGTGGTGCAAATAACACGCGGCGATCATGAATATGCTGGTAAATGTGGCTTTATGACTATGTTAAGATTAATGAAAATGGTCGTCTGTAAGCAAATTTCTAATGATTTGTTTACCTGTCATACCTTTCGCCAGATCGTTACTTCCGTCAAAATTTATTTTAATATCTCGATGTTAACGTTCAAGGGAACATATACATGTTCGTAAACACGAAGTGCCTTTGCGAGTTAATGTATAATTGTTAAATACATGAATATATAATTCTTTTATGTTGACATATCGTTGAAAAGATGATATTAATAAGGGGGAGTAGTCGCCAGACACGTCACAAACCTGTACCCCACCCACCAATTTACAATGAGTGTTACAATAAAAGGTGTTATTTACACGTTTCATACATTTGTGCCATTAGCAATAAATAATTGACATTTGTTAAAACAATATTAATAGTCTTATATATTTCTTTATTGTCAATAATACTTAATCATATGGCAGCATTTAATGTTTTAGACATCTCTCATTAAATTATATGAATGTGTTTAAATCATAAATGGTTGGCTCGAGAAATTACAAGCATTTACCATTTTGAAAGGAAGCTGGTACATAATATTATATGACATATTAACACAATCAACTATACCAACAAGAGAAGTGCTAATATTTTAGTGTCCAATTGATAGTCAATCAATTGATCTGTGGTTATCATAAATGTTTTACTATTAAATTTCATAAAATCGTTTAAATACCATTTAAATACTCATGGACTGTTAAAATTCTATGCCAGTTGGCTAAAATTTCTCTTACTTATACTGTTTACTACAGACAAAAATACTCTTTTACAATGATCAACTAGAGAAAATAACATAGTGAATGTTAGTCGAAATATATTGAGGTGCCAAAGCTTTATTCCAAGATATTTTCTTTCTGGATCAAATTCTCGTAGAGGCGAGATATTGCCCAGACACAAAATAGCACAATATCTCATCATGCAGTACAATTAGTTGGACTAAGCAAACATTTGATCAGACAAAAAAAAACAACACAATGCTTATCACCATTAGATTATGTCAGAGAATGAAGATAAGTTAAAATAGATATTTTGTTTTAAAACCTATACTTCCCGAAAATTATCAACATTTAAGTAGGTTGTTGCTTACTCCAATAAGATGTCTTGTTGCTTTGCTCTTTGTGCAGATTATATACTTGCAGTCTGCTGGTTACATCTGAATATACCCATGCACCTAGTGCAGGCAAAAATTCAGCTGACACATTCTGTGCTGTCTGATCATGGTCTGCATTGTTCACCAATCAGTCAGTACATGTTGTTTATTGAAAATTTCCTGAAAAGGTTTTGTCCAGATTTAAAGATGGACAAGTCCATTTAAGTTATTAAGCATTTTAAGTGCTTTAAAGCTAACAAAAACAACTTTTTTACTTTACAGTCATCTATCATGCCGACGCCGAAGCGGCTTCGTGACCTTATACGGGAGATAAGGTCAGCACGAACCCAGGCTGATGAAAGGGGCGTTGTGCAAAAGGAATGTGCTCAGATTAGGGACTCGTTTAGAGAGACTGATAATACATATAGGTGTAGAAATGTAGCTAAACTGCTTTACATTCATATGCTTGGATATCCAGCACATTTTGGACAGGTAGGTTAAATTTATTTTACGCCATTGTATTACATTTTTGTCATTATTGTATTGTTTGTCTTAGCCATACTTCACATGTATAATTTGTAAATGGCCAAAGGCAATTGTTTTTGCTGATTTTTCCAATAAACTTGAAACCTTGTTAAAAGTGATTAAAATTTTTACTTTATAATAGTTTATTGTGAAGTTTAGTTGAAAAAGTTAAGATATTTCCTTTCTTAGTTAGATTGTTGGTATGGTTACAGGTAGTTTGGCAGTTGGTCACATGTTTAGGCACATAATGTAACATGGCATTTAATGTAATTTTATGTTACTTTGTGACCCAGAAGAACACTAGTTCCGTTCTGTTTCCTTAAATTTGATTGAATGAATATCACTGTTTCATAATTTGAAAAAAAAGAAGAAAATTTCCCCCCATACAAGTCTTTATGTAATTATTTATGTTGGGAAAATATATTTCAACACCATATATTGTTTGCGCTTGAAACATTCATTCCATCGAAGTTCATATTATGCTTCTTTGTACATATGCTTGCATTTTGAAACTACAATATGATATGTATTTTTGCAGTTGGAATGTTTGAAATTGATAGCATCCCCCAAGTTTACAGACAAGAGAATTGGTTACCTTGGAGCCATGTTGTTATTAGACGAGAGGCAGGATATTCATTTGCTGGTCACCAACTCCTTGAAGAAGTAAGTTATTGGTTTGATGTGCCATTTTTGGGGGGCTGAAATTAGCCCCATTCCCTGCTTCAAAAAGCATGTTTTTCCCTTACCTGTGGCAAAATATTAGCTTCAGAAAACGCATAAATAAAACAAAATGTACTTTTCAGTACATCTGTTGGTTTTTGATATTTACAGAACAAAATTTTGCTGTTGATACTTATTTTGATAAGAAATCAGGGTTATTGTCAATAAAAGTGCTTTTATTTGTTCCCTTCCACAATTTTACTCTTAAAATAGATCTGTCACCATTGCTAAAAAATGTCATTGTTGTTACATGTATATAATAATATACACATGCAACTTTAAATATAAATTATTCTCATTTGTAAATGAAGAAGAATAATCAATACATTGAATCTCATATTTGCTATACGAAGTTGATATTAATTAAAGTACAGCCAATGTACAGTCAACATAGTATTAGAATGTTACCTGTTACCATTTTAACATTGCAAATATCGTATTGTTTACATAGCATATTTTCATCAAGCTCCCATTTGATGTAAGAATTTGTACAAAATCTGTTGAGAGTTTGGTATTTCCACATGGAATATATGTTGTTTATGCATATTAACATGCTCTTTCTGTTACTAAGTTCTCTATGGCTGAGAGGTGAACTTTGCTGAATTTTAATCACTTTCCTGACACTGCATTGATTCAAATCCTGTTAGGGACTTCAGATTCTTTCATATTAGGAAGGTGTCTAGCTAGTTTATGGAATGTTGGTGGTTATACTTGAGTACCTACTTTTTTGGCACCAAAATCTTCCCATTTCAGTTGAAAAGTCATCCTATGACTTGGACAATGTGTTTTTGGCTTAAAAACCACCTCGCCCACTACTACAACTTACTTTTAATAACATAGTTCTTTTGCCAAATGACTTATAACATCTGTGAATAAATACATTGTTCTCATTTTTGTTTTCAATGTCAAATTAAATGAAAATAATAAACTTTTTGAGTTGGCTTGTTGATTTTATCTTGATTTAAAAAGATTTTGCAGTTTGATTGCATTACTGCCACTAAAATAGCAGGGTATTGCACGTTCATTACTCAGTCAGCTTACAAAAGAATAGTTTTAAAGATGGTTAATTTTATATTTTACAGTGACTTGGGTCACCAGACACAGTATATTGCTAGTCTTGCACTGTGTACACTTGGATCTATATGTTCAGCGGAAATGAGTCGAGATCTGGCCGGGGAAGTGGAGAAAATGATCAAATCATCAAATGCTTACATCAAGAAAAAGGTATATTTGTTTCTTATCTTGATTGATAGTTTTGTCCAATTCTTTCATCTTGGAGCTTTAAATTGTTGTATTTAGATATTATCTGTAAAAGCTTGATTATGAAGAAAGCTTTCAAATTACGTTACTTGAACCACTGAAAAACTGTCCACTGGGACTTACAGTACTGGTGTCATAAAAGGACAAATGGTTGTGACCAGATGAGGGCTGAAGCCATAATTCCTGGATAAAGAGGCAGGCAGTGGTGGCTGAACTGTGCTCTAGTTAATTCAATGTGCCCTACTGCTGTGATCTGGAGTGAAAACTACTACCACCACCACCATAGTGTGTGCTTATATTTTGGTATTGGTTTTTCCAGCTTCTGTAAGAGACAAAGATAGAAAAGTAGCACCTATCATTATCAATTATTTTTATGTTGATTTACTTCGAGAGTTTAGAAAAAAAAAAGTTTCAAAAATTTATAATTCTTGAATTTTTGCAGGCAATCTTGTGTGCATACAGAATAATAACAAAGGTACCAGACCTGATGGAGATGTACATTCCATCAACACGGGCATTACTGAATGAGAAAAATCATGGTAAGTATTTTACTGGAGCCAAAGTTTTTGATAATATTTTAAGGTGGGAGGGTAATTAAGCCAATTTAAAGGAAATTTGATTTACTAGGTCTGTATGTCTTGAATCGGCTAGAGTACAATAGAGTAAATAATAAAGATACTGGTGTGATCTTAGTTGAAAATTGGGCAGTATTTATAACAGGGTTTTGAAGGATTTCAAATGAACAAATGTTCCAAGTGAAGTAAAATAACAACTTTATATTTTAAAGGCACATTATGCCTAAGAAATGAATATTTCTTTTCTTCTATAGAAAGGGCAAACCTTAAGATGGATTTAAAGCATATTAGATGCTTTTCACAAGAAGTAAGTAGTGCTGAATGTGAAATAATTTGACATAAGGTAACATTGCGTGGTATTCTGACTTTTATTAAAAATGCTAAATCACTGTCGCTGCACAAATTGCAAAAAGGCAAAAGAAGCCAAATGATGGTTCAGCTATATGGCAAATGAGAACTTTTTCAGAAATTATATCAGGACACCAAAAATAAAACAATTTCAGAAATGAAAATAATATCACTTTTGGGGTTTAATGGGTCTTAAGAGAACTTCAGTTTATCTGAATTACTATATTTTGAATGTGTTTTATTACAGGTGTGTTGTTGACAGCAGTATGTTTAATCACAGAGATGTGTGAGAAGAGTCCTGATACATTGACTCACTTTAGAAAGGTATCTTAATTGCATTATCTGATCAATCTTGAAAGATTCTCTTCTACATACCTTTAATTTAAAAGAAGAAAATTATGTGAATTTTTGTCGTAAGTTGTGCTTAAGCCGTATGTTACTAGTCCTTTCTCTACTCCCAACCTAAAAATATCTGTAACTATGACTATTAAGCAAGTTAAGCCTTGTTAAATCCCTGTTGAGTGGAGACAGCCAGATGGTAAAGTCTTTTCGACTCCATGCAAGTTTAGGGATATTTCTGGCTATTTTTTGTGTGGAAAAAAAAACAACAACAAAACAATAACACCTCTGAAATTACATGACAGTAATGATGTAAGTGAAAAAAATGGTTAATTGCTTTGACTCCGAATTTTTAAAACTCATTTGTGGTTTCCGAGGTGCACTTAAACATATGCTCACAGTTTTATTAGATTTGATGATGGCTTCACATTTCTGTCAATATTAAATTGAATCGATTGCATAATTATGAATTGAATTAATTAATTGAAGTTATTCTGGTAAATATTTGACTAAACAAGCTATGTTTTGATATTTCAGACTGTACCTCAATTGGTTCGGATTTTGAAAAACCTTATTATGGCTGGTTATTCACCGGAACATGATGTGTCTGGTGTCAGTGACCCTTTCTTACAGGTAATTTTGATTTTACATTGTCAATGTAATTAGTTATATTTGTGATAGCCCTCAGGGTCGGCTCATTAATGACGGTATTGATTTTGCTACAGTAATTTTAAGTATGAGTTCATAATGATTTTTTTCTGTTAAAATAGATATATATTTCATTTCATTTTAGAACTGCATAACTCGCTGAAGTGTTCTTATGTTTGCAGCCTCTAAACACACATAATTTACTACTTTGTCATAATTTGCCTTCATACATAACTAATATAACTTTGGAAATGTATGCTACTTCATATAGGGTAAACTCGAGAGAATGTGAATTTTTAAGACAGTAATGAATTATCATTTGAACAATCTTTGGTTATCTCTTAACTCATAATGCTGCTCAAACTACTTTGTATGAAAATTGTGATTATCATGATTATTGGATACCTGGAAAAAAAAAGAAATTTTGAAAAAAATTAAGATTTTGGTCTTATTTTTAAACAATAGTTATAATAATGGCAATCTATTTTTAGGTGAAGATTTTGAGGCTGTTGAGAATTCTAGGTAAAAACGATGCTGAAGCGAGTGAAACTATGAATGATATTTTAGCGCAGGTAAGTTTGTTCTGTTTAATAAGAATTCTTTGGAGAAAGTGGTGGAAATAAAAAAATGATTCTGTTATTTATTTTGCTGTTTCTGAAGTGACTTATTTATTAGATTTAAGTTTTCGTGTGTAAAATATGTATATATATGAAATAAATTTTACAGACTCATTTCTGAATAATCCGTGTATGAGAAAATGTGTTACCGGGTATCTTAAATAATTGAATTTAACTAGATCACCATTAAAGTTTCTATCAGAAACTGTCACAATAGTTATTATTTCACTGAGAAAAATTTTAGTAATAATTTTGCAGTGTTTATACAAGTTTAGTAGGTAGATCCTTGAATAAACCAGTTTACAAAACACATGTATTCTCTCCTTCTCTTGATTTATTTGTTGTATTAAGTTTAGTAGGTATAAAGAATTTAATAATATTTGTTTTATTCAATTTAAGTTTTGGACTCAAAAGTTTAAAACGTTGATACTTTTTAGACCCGTCATGTTTATAAACCTCAGTGGTGTCCCTTTGATAATCAGTTGTATAATAATGATTAATATTATTCAAACTTTTAATTGATTTGCTTAAAGGAATTATTTGTATATTGATGAACTATTTCAGGTCGCTACAAATACAGATACCAGTAAAAATGTTGGCCATGCAATTCTCTATGAAATAGTCCTCACTATAATGGGTATTAAGTCAGAGTCGGGATTGCGGGTATGTTTACAATATATCAGTATTGTTTTGTACATTATTTGTTAGTTTCATTTTTGGACTTGAAATATTTGACTCCTTGTGGCTGAGGGGTTGCAGCCACTGTTTATCCCTGCGAGTAAATGGGTTCGAATAACTGTCTATGCATCTCTTAGCTCTAGCAGGTTAGGTAGTTTTGGCTCCTGGTGTTGATTTGAATTTTGTAACACATGAGGGTTAGCCAAAATCATATTTCCTCTTTTGGCTGCATATGACCTATACTTTTTTGCCGTGCTGTAAAACCAAACAAACAAAAAATATATTATTATATGATATATTGGAATTGAATATTTTTTCAGAATTTTAGTCAAAGCAAATGTCTTTATTTAAATGATCTTCAGGGCTCACGCTGTCGGTCGCCATAGTCGCCATTTGCGATTATTTTATAAGATTGGCGATTATTTTTGCATTTTGGCTACAAAATCTGGCGATTATTTTATACTTCCAACAGTGTTTATATAAGGTGTAAAAATCGATAAAGAATGCAGTAGAACCAATTAACACCAGCGGGGTGGATTTAATTGAGTGTCAACTTTTAATCAGTCACACGCTGCTTACTATATTGCCCGAGGTGATAAAAATACATGCGAGATGTAAAATTGTAAAGGTAGCCCGGGGTTCTATGATATCAAGGTACTTAACGTTTATCTGAAAATATTTAAATATAAATATCATAAATGAATGAGATTTTTCTTCCATCTTATAATTGAACCTTTTCCAGAACTGTATGTCAAAAAACTATTTCAAAAGAACCAATAAAAATGACATTTTGTAGAATATTTTCAATGTCTGCCATTTTGGGTAATTTCAGAGGAGGTTACTACGGTATCAAGGTAATCCCCAAAAAAGCAAGTATGGAAGGATAAATGGGTCAAAACTTTCAAGTTAAGTCGTGAGAAACTTCCAACAGTTAACTTGCTATAAAATTAAAAATATATGAACAGACTGTATGTCAGTATATGTGTTTATAACATATTTTAATTGACTGTGTAAAAACCATTAAGGAAAATGGTAGTCAAATATGAAGGTTTTATAAAATAGTTTTCTTGCCACAAATACATTCATTATTCACCAAATTAAATCTATTGGCAGATGTAAATGAATCTAGTGTGCAAGTTTTACAAATATTAGCATCATCATGTGTTGCTTTTACTAGCAGTCACAGAAAATTTAAATACCTTGATATCATAGAACCCTTGATATCATAGGAACCGAGTATACTTTAAAGATATTGTCCAGCATTATAATAGCCATCAAATGTCCGTCAATTAGCCACAAAAATCATCTAAAAAAATTGATAAACTGGATATTGACCAACCCAAAATTTACCGTAAATTGCAGTAACTGCAAATTTTGATTTTTTTTTGTTTTAAGCTGCTTGACTAAATCGCCAGTGGAAAACAATGATAAAATATTTAAAAGGTATTAACTTCCAAATAACTATTTGCACAACAACCAAAATTGTGAACATTTCTTCAGAAAACAGGAAAAAATCCGATTGTCACATATTTTCGCGACGCATATAATTTTGATATTTATTTTTAGGTGAAAATAAGCTATGTTCTGTTTAAAAATCTTTACTACTATGGCAGAAATGACACTTTTCAGTAAGGTATTCAGTAGAAAGGCTTCATTCTGTGAATGAGTTTGCAAGTGTTATTTCTATACACTAATATGACCTAGATCTACTCCAGTTCTGTGTGAAATGTGGAAAATGACAGTGGTTACAGTATAGCTGACAAAATTTGATTAGAATAAACAAAAGAAATTGTCTGATAACAGCATTATGTAAAGTTATAATGAATCATTAATATTATTGTTATACAGATATTATACTATTAAACATGTTCTATAATAGCAATCAAAGTTGTTGTTCTATGTAAAAAAAGGTAGTTATCAATATACACAAATGTATCAGTTTATTTACTGAAAAAAGTTTTATATGGAATGTTTATTTAATCAACTGCTTATGTTATTAATCGCTCAATCGTGAACTTTTGGCTATTATTTTTTTAGGTTAAAAATATTGGCTATTATTTTATTTGAGCCAGTGTGAGCCCTGGATCTTGTTAAGTTAAATGTTCTCAATATCACATATTTATTTGAATTCCCATTTACAGAAATGAATTGCATTGTGAATGTCCTAATACTAATGAATGTGTCATTTAATTTTTGAATGACACAAAATTCTATGATTTATACCAGACACATTTGTGTATCTAGCTTATATTAGGGCAGTTTGTATAAAACATTTAGTGATGCCAAATATCTGCAGCATTACAGTCCTTTTATAGAATAAATATGTATTATTATGTTTTTTTAATTGTTTGAAATTAAAAAAAAAATAACACCGTCTATATGATGGTAATATCAAGAATATTACTGAATTACAAATTGACTTCATTAGTAATATATACTAATTTAAATTGTTTAAATGCTTATTAACTAACTGTTAATGTTATATTTTTTTCAGGTTTTAGCTGTGAATATTTTAGGAAGATTTCTATTGAATAATGATAAAAATATTAGGTAAGATACAAAATGATGATATTTATTATATATCCTGTACAAGATGTATGATTGAATGAACATGCTTTGAGACAGATAGTCTATGTTAGAATGTTAGTTTAAACATTAACTTAATAAGCATAATTTTAAAGAAAGTTTATAGCTTATTTTAAGCTCTCTTGAAGTTCCCTCCTGGAACTAACCAGTGCTGGTGTTATGTAAAAAAAAATGGTGTAGGCCGAGTAGGACTCATACAATCACCTTGTTGAGAAACTAGAAGTACATGGACACTGCTTTCACATTTTGAATTTTGTATGTGTCATATTTTTTATGAGACTTTGAATGATACATTCTATGCCAGATATAAAGTGTATTTTACATATTTGTAGCTTTAAACACATTATAATATATGTGATGTGCTAAATTGGTATGTAGCTTTAAACACCTATTAATGTGATGTATTTTGATATGCAACTATAGAAATATTGTAATATGTATTTGAATTGGCATATTGCTATCAGAATATTTATGTTATGTCTTTTTCATGTATGTAGCTTTACCACAGTTTCTTTGTTACGTATTCTATAATTCATTTGATATGTACTGTATTATTCAGGTATGTAGCTTTAAACACATTGTTACGAGTGGTGACTGCAGATTACAACGCTGTACAGAGACATAGAACAACTATTGTAGACTGTTTGAAAGATACTGATATCTCAATAAGGAAGTTAGTATAACTTTTATGTTTCAAGGTTATAAAATTTCAAGATAAAACAGATGTAGATTTCATTTTGATAGGTGTTGTTTACGAATTACTAGGAAGATTTATTTATAGCTTGATCATTTGTAAAAAAGGAGAATTCTTCACAAATGTATTTAAGATTGTAATTATAGGTCAGTGTCCAAGACCTTTGACTCTAGCATAAATTTAGACTAAATTATACTATTTGGTGAATATAGAAAAGTCTGTTAATGTTTAACATGCAAGTTCTAACTTCACAACCACATAGGGTATTCTCTTGAACTGAAGTATACCCCATTGTGAACTTTAAAAGTTTGAGGTTTGAGATTTTCCTTGTATGTGTATAGTAAAAACTTAAACAATCTTTATTTTAAAACCACCCCAAAGAGCTTAGATATTTATCATGAAACCATCTTCTAATGGATGTCTACCAAGTTTGTTAAAATAAAAGCCTGTCGGTTAAAATTGGCCCACCCCGGGGGCCTATATACAGGTGAGCAATTTCAGGGGCATCATGGCCCTCTTGTTATGAAATTATCTCCATTTCTGATTAAATTATGATTTAGCATAGTTTTATAAAAATAAACATTGTAATACTATATCTAAAATTTCAGGCGTGCAATGGAGCTCTCATTTGCTTTAGTCAACAACAACAACATCCGTGGTATGATGAAAGAACTTCTGTCATTCCTGGAGAACAGTGATCCTGAGTTCAAGTCAGATTGCTGCTCCAAGATAGTCACTGCAACAGAAAAGTAAGATTATTCTTAACATACTTACTGTTAGGTTGTGTTTTGCCAATTTGTAATGTTCAGTATTTTACTTATTTACATATAAACAGTTACTACTCGGGTCACGACTATGTTTCTTCATATGACACCAGTACTGGTTGGTCCCAAGAAGGGGACTCAAAAGTGATTTATATAAGTTGCAAAAACTTGTTTCGCAATCGAGCTTGAAATAATTAGGTTTAAACTAAATAGTTACCTGACAAATGCTGACTAGTGCTTACATGTCTTTTTTATGCAAGTATGAACTATTGGTTAAAAAAAATGAATGATATAATGTAGTTTCTTCTAAGGCTGCCTGCTTAGCTCAAAAGGGCAAGTATTTGACTGGTAGTCCAGACGTTGCTGGTTTGATCGTCGGGCAAAGGGAAATATCTCTGCAACTTTTGATCTCATACATTGAATCTCTCACCACTGTTTAAGCGATATGAAGTCTGTCACTTGCTCAGAAATTGGTTATTACTGGGTAGTTAACCAGCTTGTTAGGTGGACTGAACGCTAATGTGACTGAACAAAAATGTGTTAAAAATTGCGTAGAAAGGAGATAAATAACAGTTCTCTTTCAATGTATATTGATATTATATATAAATATCTATTGACATAATTTTGCTTTTATTTTTTGAGGTAGTGATGTTATGTTCCTTTTACAATTTTCAGACATTCCCCAAATAAAAGATGGCATGTGGATACTGTTATGAAAGTTTTGAAAATTGTAAGTCATCTTTTTAAATCATATATTGCATTAAACTAGTTTAAACATAATGTTGAGCAACTTTGTCTCAAGGAAATGATTAATTTCTATGTTAAACAGGTCAAATATTTCATATTAATGTGCAAGTCATTTGGCATCCTGACCCCAGAATTTTTTCCCTTCAATATATTGTATTACTAAGTCAGTACAGTAGTTTTGATTTGGCACAAAAATATTGAGGATATTTTCAAACTTGCAGTGCATGTACTTTAACATCTGACTATCCCCACAGTGCAGGTCCTATACTTAGTATTCGATAATCAAATAGTCGCAGTCCCCAATATTCCCTGGGAGTGTGGCAGGGCTTGGTTTCAAGTTATGTGTGCATTACATTGTATTAAGTATTGTTACAGAATCAGCATCTAGCCAACAAAACAGAAAACTGCCTTGATTGTGAATACATATGTTTTTTCAGACTTTAGAATAGTTTCAGTATATGTGAAATGAATTTAATTACACAAAGAGATGTGAATAATTATTAGTATTTGTTGTTTTTCAGGCGGGAAATTATGTACACAATGACATTGTATCAGTTGTGATACAGTTGGTAGCTAGTGCTAACCAGTTACATTCTCACACAGTACGTCAGCTGTTCTTCTTAATGAAGGAGGATAACTCTCAGCAACCTCTGTGTCAGGTCGCATCATGGTGTGTAGGGGAATACGGGGAGCAGCTATTATTGCCGCCTTCAGAGGAGGACGATCTAGGACCAGTAAGCATATTTTAATGAATTCTCCCTGTCATGATAATGATAATTGAATGTTTGAGAAACTATCTGATTTGGTAGTTCCTAAAACATTCTTTACTTGTTGCGAAATTGTCTTAAAAGCTGCATGCATCCAGATGAGTCAAAATATTTCAAGAAAATCAAACTTGAGGAAAATGTAAAATTTTAAGAAAATTAAAAAGATTCAAGAAATATTGATTTTTAAAAATATTTTGCTGACCAAAGATTTAAAGGACTAAAATAATTTAAATTCAAGCCATGAAAATAGTTGTCTGAAAAATAGTGAATTCTGTTGGATTTTGATTTTTCCAATATTGCATGTAAGTTTAAATGTTCATGCAAAACGAAGCAAATTTTGCAACTATAAATTTGATGCACATGTTGGTGTAAAAGGACTTAGGAAAGATAAATAGATGAGTTGTTATAAAATGTTGATATTTTCAGGTAACAGAAGAGGATGTTGTTAAAGTGTTACGGAAAGGTTTAGAGAACAATAATTCCACAACAGTCACAAAGGAATACTGTATTACTGCATTGATGAAACTTAGCACGCGGTTTAGTGTTGCAAGAGAGTAAGGAACTTTATATAGTACTTTCTCATGACAAAAATCTGTAAAAAATTAACTTTTCTATGACTTTATAAGAATCAATAAGATTAAGGATTAATATGTTACTTTAGAATAAAGAATCCTGCATAAATATATGAAGAAGAATTTTTTAGCCAGACAATTTGAAGAATATGGTAAGCTATTGTACTCATCTAGGCGTTAGCATGACCCTTTGCCTTAGTTTTTGTGTGTAAGTTACTTTTAAAAAGAATAGGTTGAAACTTTACACACATATTTGACAGCACAATAGAAGGTGTCTTTTCAAGGCCCATAACTCTAAACATGGAGTTTGAAAGAATTATGTCCTTTTCTGAACTAAGAAAATACTACATTTTCCAGGTTTTTAGTTCCCTACCGGTTTACCGGAGGGGACTTTAGGTTTACCCTCCGTCCGTCTGTCCGTCCGTCTGTCAGTCCGTCCGTCCACAAAACTGGATCCCGCGATAACTTGAAAAGTACTGAAAATATTTTTATGAAACTTGATATATGGATAGATGGCAGTATGGAAATTATGCACATCTTTTTCTTTTCTTCCTATGTTGAAAATTCTGGTTGCTATGGCAACAAATAGGCTGAAAATATGGCAAATTTTACACATAAATTGGATCCAGTGATAACGCAAAAAGTACTGGAAATATTTTTATGAAACTTGAAATATGGGTAGATGGCAGTATGGAGATTATACACGTCTTTTTCTTTTCTTCCTATGTTGAAAATTCTGGTTGCTATGGCAACAAATAGACTGAAAATATGGCAAATTTTACACATAAACTTGATCCAGTGTTAACGCAAAAAGTAATAGAAATATTTTTATGAAACTTGTAATATGGGTAGATGGCAGTCTGGAGATTATGCATGTCTTTTTCTTTTCTTCCTATGTTGAAAATTCTGGTTGCTATGGCAACACATAGACTGAAAATATGGCAAATTTTACACATAACCTGAATCCAGTGATAACTCAAAAAGTACTGGAAATATTTTTATGAAACTTGACATATGGGTAGATGGCAGTCTTGAGATTATGCTTGTCTTATCTTTTCTTCCTATTTTGAAAAAATATTGGTTGCCTTGGCAACAAATAGGCTTAAAACATGGCAAATATAACAATATTTGTGATTAGTCAAAAAGAGCTGAAAATTTTTATGAAATTGCATCTTTAATTCAAGAGTTATCTCCTTTTTAAGAATTTTGCTTTTAAAAATGTTATATTTTGGTAACAGGGATGTTTCAAATATTAACTTTAGAGTGTCCTTCAGTCCGTCTGTCTGTCTGTTCATAAAAACTGTTTCCTGTGATCACTTTTAAAGAACTTTTCCAACAAATTTACTTAAAATAGAGAAAAATTGAAACATTAGTGAATGGCCAATGGCCCTTCAGAATGTTGATGGGGTTCTAACCGGTAGGGGACTTATGGATTGCTTGCAATACTATGATAATTGCTTGTTTTTTTACTATCAAGCACTGAGAAAAGTCAAGGACACTGCCCTGCCAACAGCTCTTGTTAATCATGCTTGTTTAATTAAACAAGTGATATGATTGTAAGAGTGTTAAGATTCTTCAAATTTCTTAAAATTTTTAACATCATAACATTATTATTTCAGTTCAATACTGGATATAACATCTCGATACAGTAGTAGTACTCAGGTAGAGTTACAACAGAGGGCAGTAGAATACACTTCTATATTTAGAAAATATGATAATATGAGGTAAGCATAAGAATTGATTTAACCCTTTGTACGCCGATGGCAATTTTTTTTTTTTAATATGATATTACCTGAAGCCACCAGTTGGGTCCAGATATTTTAAAATGTGTTGTTTTTTGTTTTGTTTTATAGAGCTAGCAGAGCATGTACCAATGTGGAGGTCAGTCCTACAAATTCAGAGAACAATAGCTAAAATCAGCATGCTCTTGAATATTTCATTCTCTAGTTTTACTTTTGTAAAAGAAATTAATTAAAGGTATGTCTAGTTTTAAACAAGGAACTTGATGATTGAGCTAACAGCACAAGGAGAATACTGTGATCAACAGTTCGTTATTTTTACTGGTATTTGTATTATATTGAAAGCTTGAACTTATTCGATCTACTCTATAGTGTGCTTGCTAAACTGACCAGTACTGTCATGTGAGGAAACATGGTTGTGTCCTCAGTTGGGCTAGCTGATCCCCTCAAACAAGCTGCATATACCATAACAACTACACCTCTTATCCCCTCACAAAACTAAAATTCAAATAATAATTTTTTCAGCAGATATATAGCTTTATACACTTTTACTTGTGTGTTTTGTTAAGTTTTATTTTGTTACATTTTCAGATCTGCGTTATTAGAACAAATGCCTTTAATGGAGGTAAACCGGACGAAGGAAGCCATTGATGGCGAGGATTCTGGCGAGTCTCTGTTAAATACAGACACTGTAGAACGTAATAATATGGAAAATATCAGATCACCAACCTCCACTCAAACTGAGGTAAATACAATCAATATGCATGTGTATAGTTTCATTTAAAGTTCGGATTTACTGATTGAAATGTTTAGTTTCAAAAGTTTACAAATTTTTTAGATGATATGTTTCGAAACTTCACACATTTGTGAAACTTCACAACTTTGCCAAGTGCCATATTGACATTGTTTTAACACAGTTGAAACTTGTTATATGCTCAACCATATTTGCAATATGCCTTAAGAGATTTGAATGCTGTTGTGCACCTCATGACTGTTAGATTAAATAATTCAAAGTTTCAATCTGTTTTATATTAAATCATCATAAGTTTGAATCCCTTAAAAAAAACACACACACACAAACTGTTATCCGACTTTTAGAACAGTCGTAATTCAAAGTGAAGTTAATATAAGATTTATTGAGTTCTTTTAACAGGCACTTGACGTTTCTCACAAGATTGCCTTTCATTGTATATTTTAAATTACTATCGAACACAGCGATGCCTGAACATAGTGTGATTTCACATGACAGATTTAGTTTCATTACTAAGAACATATCTATTTTTCTAGAGTCAAAATATTCTGGATTTGCTAGATGTTGGTTCGAGTCCGGTTATACCTACCCAGCCGCCTGTACAACCAACCAAACAAGAACCTGTAGATTTACTCTCACTACTGGATGATGTGGCCACTATATCATCAGCACCTGGTAAGTGAACAAATGTATTGGAACAATTCCCTATGGATAGATTCTGAAATGTCAGGTGTCCTTGGGTTTTAGGAGACAATTGTTATGTGTTCATTGTTTTGTTGTGATTATTTACTTAAGTTAATAGTTTGTCATTGTTTAAGTCTGGGGAGCATTTAATTTATAATCAAGGGGTGGCTGGTTGGATCCTCAGTTGTAGCAATATGTCTTTATGGCAGTTGATCTTAGATATTGAGTCAAATGGTCATTTGCTCTGACATTCAGTCCAGTTTTAAATTTGGCTCTCATTGCTGACTCAGAAATTGTATGGAATAAGGAATCAATCTCTTGGGGAGAAATTGGTAATTATTGGTTAGTTATCCAGGAATTAGGCAAAATTTACAAAATATGAAGTGACTGAATAAGGGAACAGTGCAGTTCAAGGATGAACCGGCTGATTTTGGTCTGCACTGGTCACATGGGTAGGATCTGTTATTGACAGCAGGCTCAGATTTAATGGCTGAAACTACAGCTGAAATTCAAGGAGGGCAAGTCAAATACACACATTCAGTTGGGTAAATATTTAATTTTTTGTGTGACAGACAACCACCAAAAGAACTGTTTTAATTCATAGCCGGTAAACTTTGCTTTTTACACAAATATTTTCTATTTGTTTATTAGGAATCACAAATGCTGCACCTCCCGTGGATTTAATGGGTGGATTACTTGGATCACCAGTTTCTAACAACATGATGAATGGCAACTCCAATGGTAAGTTTACACAATTTTAGGTTGTTTTTAATACTCGGGGTGCCTGTTGTTCCTTAAAATGTTTAGGGGGTGAGTGTGGGTGGGGTTACTTAAAATATTTCTGAAAAGCCACCATATGTTTACAACAGTGTGGGTGTAACTTAAAACTAACCAGGAAATTGGGTAAAAAGAAATTAAGTGAAAAATCTATTTTCCTGTCATTCAAGCAATTCATTTCTTGATTAATTAATTTATTGATCAGAAAAACAATGGTAACATTATTTTCTAAATTTCATATTTTCAGTATCGGCTCCTATTGTAGCGTATAACAAAAATGGTTTGTTGATAGAATTCCGATGTGAGAGAGACAATGATTCTATGTCAGTTAGCATTATCAATGTGAAAGCCTCAAACACATCCCCCACACAGATGTCCGACTTTGTGTTCCAAGCTGCAGTTCCAAAGGTGTGTATACATTTGAACACTTTGTCAGAATTCTGAATGACAATATTCTTAACATATCATCCAACATAGGTTTTGTGATTTGATATATGTATGTACAACATATCCTGCTTCTTGAAAACAACCATGCTTAATTAAAATAAGGTAAATATAGGTATAGCTTCAGTGTTGTGTAGTAACTTATCATTGTTCTTAGCAAGCTATAAGATAAAATTACAAATGAGCCGGGTCATGACAAAACCAACATAATGGGTTTGCGAACTGCATGGATCCTGATCAGACTGCGCGGACGCACTGGCTGGTCTGGATCCATGCTGGTTGCAAACGCACTATGTTGGTTTTGTCATGACGCGGCTCAAATATGTATACATTCACTTTCTGTGATGTAGCAGTAGTCCTAAATGGTTGTTTTGCAGCATTCCATTCTTGCAAAGTCTGATTAAGCCTGGTCATAACTGAAATAGGCGTCTGCATACTACTCCTTAGAAGGGTCATCAATGGCTTTCTAGAGTATGCCACAAGTCTCTTGAATCTGATGAAATTAAATGAAAAACTAAGTAATTTCTTTGGATATAGTCTCCATTATAGCATTAATAATAGTTTTAAAAATTCAGCTGGTTATAGTTAACATATAAACATGATTTTCAAATGCTTTTGAGTGATGAAGAGTAGCTGCAGATTTTGTTTAAAGATTGACAGATGTATGATGAAATTATGCACTGAACATATTTTCTATATGTTATATTATGTTATAATATTTTCAGTCATTTGAACTGCAACTACAGTCTCCATCTGGTAATCTTTTACCCCCTCTCAATGGTGGAACTGTAACACAAGTTATCAAAATAAACAATCCACAAAAGGTATACTTAATTCTTTCTTCTTGTACTGTTGGAAAAAGTCAGTTGTATGTTAGAGAAGCATTATAGAAAGTTAATAAGCTAATGCATTTGCACTTTTTTGTTCACTTGATTTCGAGGACATTTTACTTTAACCCTTAGCCTTCTGGCAGCAACAGATTTTACCCATGGGACCACATTAGCTGGCACAGATGTGCTGTCTGATCATGGTCTACCGTGTTTCCTATTCAGTCTGTACCTATTCTGATATTTTCCCTAAAATGTGGAATAGTTTTGATAAGATTGAAGGATGGCCATTTCTGAGTCAGATATTTAACTTGATAAAGGTTAAGCTATCAGTGATAACATCTTGTCTTATACCACAAATTAAGAGTTAGTCAACCTGTACATAGGTGTAGTTTGACATGACTCTTAATTCTGTTCACTGCTCAGTCTCAGTTAGTTATTCAGTTATCCCTCAAATTTATAATGTACAATTAAAACTAATGCAAGACAAGTTAGTACAGATTCAAAAGGTTTAGGAAGGATAATTGAGACTTTAAAGCAACCCAACTTAGTGTATCATACTGAATATATATAATAAACTTGTCCATCTGGACAAAACCATTCATCATTTATGGGTATAATTTCACAGTATATACTGATTGAATATCAAAACAGTGCAGACCATGATCAGTTGGCATAGATCTGCACTGGTTGCATGGGTAAAATCAGTGTTGACTTTGCCATCATGTATGACTATGTATACATTATTGTCTGAAGATGTATTATTGATGTAGCTATTTCTCTTTTATGTTCAATATTTTATCAATTTTTTTTTTTCATTTTCAGCAACCTATTCGAATGCGTCTTAAACTATCTTATTCACAGAATGGAAACACAGTGACTGAAATGGGTGAAGTGAACAATTTTCCTTCAGAACTCTGGCAATAGCATTCATAATATTCTAGTTTATATAAAGAAAAGAAAAAAATGGAAAAATGAAATATTGTGTAATTCTTGAAATTAATGGAGTTTATGAATACATGTTGTGAAGCTAACTACAGCTTTTATTCTGCTCATGAAATAGTGCAAAAAAATAAGAGAGAACAACTGTTTGGAAGGCTAATTGGACTGGTTTTGCATATTCACAAGTCCTGGACATACTGGTTTAGTGTTTTGCCAGTTTCCTATGGAAAAAAAGTGACTGGTTTACTTGTTTTGCTCTGAAAAAATGTCCTGCCAGAAATGGACTGGTTTGGAATGGTACATCATTATTTGCATAAAAAGTTACCCTGCCAGGAGATAATGGACTGGTTTTCCTGTTCAAGTGATAATAGACTGGTGTAGATATGTAAAGCAAGAACAGTGCTGCTTGACTGAGGTTTTCAGTTAACCAGTTTCAATGATAGCATAGGATAGACTTGACAACATGGCATTGGCCCTTGTGACAGTTCATTTTTCCAAAGACATTGGGGGAAAAAGATTGGCTTTTCCTATTTCCATGTTGAAACCATTATACGGTTGTTTTGTTGATAGAAAAAAAGTGTGATTTGTTCTATTTAAGTAATGTGCTTTAAATGGAGAATATTACATCAGTTTTTGCTTAATATGCTAAATCATACGCTAGCATAGTTAAATCTAGACTCAACAGCTCTTTCTGTAAGTAAAAATGATTGAAAGAATGTCTTTTCATTTCTTAAAAATCATTATTTTAAGATCACCAATTTCATCAACCAGATTTGAGTGAATGGGTATTTGACGAAGAAAACTTTACTTATAAGGAATACTTGTTTAATTATAAAGAATACTTGTTCATTATATTTAACATTACATGTTCACATATAAATGCTAATACTATTTGAAATGGCTATGGTTTTGCATAGGTTAAAATTGCCTTAAATGTTAAAACTTGATGTTTTGTAATACATTAATCAGTCTAGATATATCGTAACCATTGGAGCAGTAACAGGCTAACTCTTACTAAATTCAGTAGGAGTTAACCCGTTACTGCACTAAGGTGACATTTTGATGCCGATGTTTTAGTGGATATATAAAAAAAAGCGTAACTTGTCATTGATTACTTTGCATAATAACAATAGGAGTATATGTGCTTGAAACTTAAACATGTCAATTAAAGAGAAAATGGCAGTAAAAAATTAAGATGCATGGGTTAGTCTCAGAAAGTACTTTGTGAATTTTTTTTAATTCCCAATTTTGAAATCTGTGTCAAGAAACTATCTGAATTATAAAAATACAAATGAAGTAAGTTGATTTTTATAAAAACATCACTTTTTTCTTGTGGTACAGATCTGTTTTGACCTGAATCCTGCTGAATATACCCGTACAAGTGCAGATCTAGATTAGATGGCACATATATGCAGTCTGATCATGGTCTGCACTGTTCGCTATTCAGTCTGTACGTATATTAAAATTTTCCCTAAAAATATTGCATGGTTTTTGTCCATATTTAAAGATGGACTAAGCCATTTAAGGTACTAAGGTGAGATAAAAGGGGAAAGGGGATTTTAAGCCAAAATATTAGGATGTTAAATAGAGGATTAATTCTACTGTAACAGTAGGGTTTCATGAATGACGGCTTACCCACCATTTCAAAGGAAAAGGCTTTGCCTCTAACAACTTCATATGCAGTCTGACCAAAACCCTAATTCTTTTTGCAGCTTTATTTTACCAATCTGATGTTGAAATCTCTTTAAGTTAACAAATGACGCATCCAAAATCCAAACATGGAAAGTACAGTATACACATTTAGTAAGGTGATGGTTTCATTCATTTCTATAGTAACATTATTAATTTGGAAAAGAAGTTATCTTGATGTTTTTCTTTCATACTAGATAAATCATTGTTGCTCATTTATGGAATAATTTAAGGATCATCAGATAAACTGTTCTTGAAAAAGCATTAACATGATGTAAAATTGTCAGATGTATAACTTGAAAAAAATGTGTATACATGTTTAATATTTTAAAATTCAAGTGACTCTTTGCATATTTTGTGCAAAATTTCACTAAATTACTATTTAAATCACAATATTTTAACTTCTGTACTAAAGAGTAAGAGCTTATTTCTGCATAATTTGACATATTAAAATTCTTAGGACTAGGAGACTAGGTTAAATCATTATTTCTGCATTGTGACAACAGATTTACAAGAAACAATGTCTGAAATGTAATGTAAATAAATAAGAATCTGGAGGTACAGTGCTGTTAGCATTACCTGTAAATTAACATGTTCCATTGTAGATGTGACTTGACACCAGTTTACAGTAAATCATATGCTGCCATATTACTTGTAATAGTATACTTCAATACAGAGACATTAATGTTGTTCTTACATTTTTTTCAATAAATTTGTGATTTTTATTTTGCAGATAAGTGTGCCTGTGTAACAGATTAAGTATGTTTCATGTTTGACTTAACCCACTCACATTAAAAATGTCAGATGGTGAACATGTGAACCATATAGTTACATGATTTTTCTGTCATTTTTGTCCCCCGTTTTTGTATTTCAACCGTAACCATTCCATTGATTTTTTTTTTAATGATAATTTATTTGAAAATATTTTTTTGTTTATGGTATTGTTAAAGAAATATAGCGGTGAAGCTTAACCCATAACCTGCTTGAACCAAAAGTGATTTGCCTTGGCCGTGTGCAGTCTGACGGGTGGCTTATTTTAAATTTTCATCTTGATTTACCTAAAATTCAAAATGGGCTATTCCAAAAATGGGAGCTGTGCCAGTCCATGTAAGAAATTCAATAGGTTGAGGGTCAAAGCTTAAAGAATTACATAAATTTCAGCATATGTGATAAAATCGTAGTGTTTTTAGAAAATTAAACTGGAATTGTATGACAAGGAAAGTTTTGATTCAAACAAGTGCTAGCTTAAACTTACTTTTATCTTGTGAAGTTTTTCTGTAAGTTAAAGAAATTCTAATATGTGTGTTAAATATTAATCCAAAGACAAAGCGTTAATGTCCAAGTTACTATAAGTAGTGAGGATTGATAAAGTTGTAATGCATTTTCAATCTTTAATATGTATCCATTGACCTTTATTCCCTGTACAATCCTGCCAAAATGTAAAATTGAAACTGATTTTTAGTTTTTTTATTCAAATGCTTGTAAAACTTAAGTTAAATATGTTTGACTGTGCATTTGGATTTCTAGAAGTTTTTGAAACCAGTCTTTGCATAGAGAGCCATGATTTGTTAATATAAATGAAACTCGGCAAATCCGACAATAGATTTACAGTGGTCTGCTTTGAATGATTTTATGTCTTTTTGGATTTCATTTGTATAATTGATTCCTAAGTTTTACATATCATTTACATAACTGGAAATCAAACATGTTTTTTGTGTTGTTTTTTTTACACAGATTATATTTCAAACAAATTGTAACAGAGATTTATATTTCAGAGTTAAACGATTTCAATTAGATTAATTAATATACAGTAAGTAATTTGTCCTCGGCTTGGCTTATTATAAAAAAAAAATCTGGATTTGTATCACTTATTTATGCATTTATAAATTTTTTTTTTCTCATTTCTTTTTTTGTTTCCTTGATGACGTAGAATTATAAAACTTTCTGTACATTAAGTACAATAAAGTTTTCTCATCATTTTGTCACAATGTTATTGTTATTTTTATTATTGAAGATTGAATGTGTATGTAGGTGATAACTTTGAGAGAGCTATATATTTGTTTTACAGCAATTATGTGCATACTTGTATTAAAAATATTACCTATTGTGTCCAATGTACTATTTATATTACACGCAATAGGAAAAATAAATTATTTACAAAAACAGATTTGGCTTGTACTTCTTTGATTTCTATTTTTATACCTGACAAAAATAATGGAGGGAGCATTTTTCATCAGCAGTATCTGAAATTGATTGGTCAAGGCACTGAGACTGAAAATAGTTTAAAAACAAGAGCCCCGTTTAAGCCGGGTGATGCACCCGGAATAGGGTTTGGACACAGGAAAGTACACATCTTGTAGTTTCAGAGCTTTGTCCCTGGAAAAGGTTAAAAGTGCAAAAATTCCAAAATTAGGCAAGGCAGAGTTACTGTTCTTTGCACTGCACTTCTAATCAATGTGTTCTATCAACCTACAAAGTTTCTTGGTGATACCTCTTATGGTTTCCAAGTTGTGTCCCGGACAAAGTTCAAAATGTAAAAATGAACAAAGGGCAGTAACTACAAAAGTATGCAAGGCGGAGTTCAAGTTCTGCACTGCACATGTACATATTGAAATCTATCTACCTACAAAGTTTCATGTTGATATCTCTTGTAGTTTTAGAGTTATGTTCCGGACAAAGTTCAAAGTGTTAAAATTAACAAAGGGCAATAACTCATCTACCCATTTAGATCTATTTACCTACAAAGTTTCATGTTGATATCTCTTACAATTTTAGAGTTATGTCCCGGACAAGATTTTTCTAAAAGGGGAGATAATTTAAAAACCGGCCAAAATAGAGTTATGGTTCTTGTGCACTGCACATCTACCCATTGAGATCTATTTACTTACAAAGTTTCATGTTGATATCTCTTATAGTTTTAAAGTTATGTCCCGAACAAGATATTTCTAAAAGGGGAGATAATTCAAAAACAGGGCAAAATAGAGTTATGGTTCTTTGACACTGCACTCCACCTCAATGCCCACTACCACTGTATGAAGTTTAAACAAATTATCTCCAAGTTATGATCCAGGCAAGACAACGGACGGACAGACGGACAAGGTGGCGACTATATGCTCTCCCTTCGGAGAGCCTAAAAATGTCATTAAGTTGTCATTTATTGACCAATATCTTATAAGGCATGCTTAATTTCATGGAACTCTACCCAGATGAGGTCAAGGTTGTTCTGGCTGAAATAGATTTGTTTCACAGTCCCGGCCCAACACAAAATTGCTTTAAATATATTCAAGGAGCAATCATAAGTATCCATCAGTATTACCATGGCATATACATAGACAGATTTATATTCACATTATTGAAGCTTATTTTAAAGCCTTCACTCTCAGTTTCTGTGAAACTTTCTTTTCAAAACATCTGCTCATATGTTTTACCTCCCCTAACTTTCATGGAACAATGCAAGTTCTTGTTGATGACTTGAGTTAGAAACGTGAGGTCTCAACAGACAGTAGGATATTGAAGTACAACACCATGCAATTAAAACATAGATCGATGTACAAGCAAATCTTAATGAGTGAAGGCTGCTATTTCTTGAATTCATACAACTTAATTCTAGATTTACAGGATAGGACATGTTCTATCTCTAAAATAATTCTTGTTGTACAGTACACCTCCCACAATGACAGGTAATATATTTTCCAATTATCCCCTTAAAATGTGTTTAATAAATGAAATTCCAGTCCAATTTGGGCTAAAATGTCAACATAGCAGTAAAATGGAGTAAAATAGATATTGAAAAACCTTTGGGGAGCAGCCAAGCTGTGGTATGTTCGAATCCCAAATTACTCAGAAAATAATTATAGATTATTATTTAGAAAATAAAGAACGGATGAGTTTCCATCATTACTCATGAAGAAAAAATAATTTTTCCTCATGAGAACAAAATACAAAACAGGCTTTAGGGTGTTCAGTTATTTTATTCATTCAAGAGCATGGTAATTTTCTAAAGGCTCCCTCCATGCTTCACGGCCTACCTAGTCATTATTCATTTCATTAGGTTGAAGACCAACTAGTTAATAACAAGGTCAAAAGTCAATGCCACAGTGACCTTTCATACAAAACCCATTTCTACTTAATTAAAGTACAATTTGTTATTTGATTTGACCAAAAATCATCAAACTTCATATGAGGAACAGTGTAATTTGGTAAAATGCCCCTTTCAATTTTGGATCAAAGGTTATGGTCAGAGTTTTAAAAATATTTAATCCCAGTTATCTGTTAAAATAACTTTAATATTAAGTTATACTTTAATTTGCATAGAATTATTTATCAAATTATGTGAGGGGCGTTCATGGTACTCTTTAACAAAACCTTTTCGGTTAATTTCAGTTCAGTTCGTTTCTTATTTAGCTTTCTCGACGACTAGACGCTTTCAAACTTCCAAGCGTTTATTCGTTAGGCGGCTTGTTCAAAAATTGTAAAATAAATGTTTCGAAGAAAAAGTCCTGTTAAAAACATTTAAGATTAAAAGGTAATGAATATTTCTTGATGACATTGTAATTATGCTTTAATGAAGCTGTTGCCTTTGCAATAATTAACTTTTAAAAGCTGAAATCGGTGTCCGAATTAATTTTGCTACTTCTTCATGCGGGTGGGGTAGTGAATTTAATATGAAAAAGGCAAAGCCTCAAAGCGAGCTCGATGTACTTTTTACGTGAAATAGTATGAAATAATCGCTCATGCAGTAACGAGTGCGTTTGACGTCACACGTACTGTGTTAAATATGGCTCCGCCCCTGTCGTGAAATGAATAACGAGTTTTGAAAACGTTTATTTTATTTCACTCTATAATTTTTCAAGCGAAATAAAGATTATTTAAAGTGAAATAAATGTAAAACTTAAAACGTTTGCGACATTAAAATAGCGTACTTGATTTGTTTGTTTTGCACGTGCTGTTTGGCGCTACATGACGTCACGTAAACAATACTTTAAACGTCTGTACAGCGTTAACGACTGAATAAAAGATATTGGTGTTCGGATTCATTTTCTTAGTTAGACCATTTTCTTTCATTCTAAATAGTTTTCACAACAAAATTCGACAAAAAATTGTTTTTATTTATCAGATTTCAAACAAAATGGCGCCTTCGACTTTCATTTTTTATACACAGCTTCCGTTATTCTGGTTCCCTGTCCAATTATGGTTCCCATAGACGTGCGTGGGTGACAAGTCTACACATCCGTTTTCAGTCAGAATTCCTCAGTTTTTATCGTTATCTTTAAATTCGAAAGGTTGCGATGTGTCCAATTCGGTACTTTGGACGAAAGTTTTCAAAACCATCACTTAGCAGGTACTCGCGTTACCGTAAAGCTCGCTTTGCGAGCAGGCCCTTCGGGCCAGCTCGTCGAGCTCGCTATAACCTTCTAAATTATGGACTATAAGGCCATAGCATTAAATTTATCCGTCTGTTTATTTTATTAGACAATTATTTTACAACAATTTGAATATGCGTCTCATGTCTGGTCCCACAGACGCTTGGGGGTCAGATCTTGCCCCCAACGTGATACGCCCCTGTAAACACTATTTTCAAACAATTTTTACATATATGACAAAAATACTGTATACCATCAAGTCTCAATAAAGTAAAGATTGCACTCCAAAATGTAAACACTTACCCTAGTGTAATAAAACCTTTATAAATCATTATTAAATTAACCTTACCATGACTTTTCCGGTGTAAATCAATAGAAAATAGAATTATCTCCTAGATGCTATCAGAATAAACATTTATACATCTCTTTTAAATTAAGTAAATTTTGCGTTCTGTCCAACCAATAGGCGAAGAGTTCCCGGCTCTGCGTGGAGCGCTTGTCAAGCCGGTATCCAAAAGGTGTACGTGCTTTCAACTACTTGAGCATTCTATCGTCATGTCCCGCGTGTTAGCTGTTTCACTATTGAGACGGTTCACACCAAGACAGTTCACACCAAGACGTTTCACTCCCTTTTTATACCAAAATTATTTTGATACTTATGATATACTAAAACAGACCTGAAATATTGAATTGAATTGAATTGAAGTAAAATATACCTTAAATTTAATAAAAAGGGGGATTTCACTTTTTTGTTAATGACTTAAAACTCAGTACTTAAAGTTCTATCATTTCAGTTATCTTATCTTCTTTATTGTTGTTTTGTTTATCTATTCTTTGATCCATATGTTCAATTATCACATTATTTTACTTAAAGAAAACATATTTTTGATTAAAATAACACTTTTATATAACTAACTATTTGATCTTTTGTAAACATGGACTCAATAGGCAAATTTAATTTAAAGCATAACAATCTTGTGACAACAATTAACTTTGAGTAACATGTTTTTTTGTTGTTAATTTTAAACATGGGATAAAAAATTGTTAAATTATTTAATGCTAGTATAGTGCGTTTGCGATATATGTCAAAAAATTTAATGGCCATTGAAATCAGAAATTTCTTTAAATTAAATTAGAAGCATTAATTGGGACTTTTTCAATATTTGTCATGTATAATCACTTTTTTGTGACTAAAATTCATTATTATATAAACAAAACTTATGGAGAAGTTTCTGTGTTTAAATTGGCTGTTGTCAAAAAATATTTAAATGGTCCAATAAACCACTGATTAGTAAACTGTTGATGCTTTAAGTGCAGTGTTTATACAACTGATTTAATAGTGGTGTCAAACTGTTAGTTGATTGTCTCAGTGTTTATACAACTAATTAGGCGATGAGATAACACCACAATTACTTGAGTTTGTTTAATGGCTACCGTTTAATAAATTGTTGAAGAAAATAAATTTAAAAAATAATTTATTTTATACACATGTTTCGTATTTCATTGTTTAAGACTTACAAAAGATAATCATTATATTCATTATAATGAAAATAATCATTATATAATATATTTAATATATTGATATTTTTATTATTTGAATAATTTTAGATACTTTACTGGTATTGATTTCAATATTTAAATTGATACTTATAATATGTCTTTAAATTGTTGTTCTTTCTATGTAAACAGATTTTTCTCATGTTATTATACTTATAATAAAAGTGATATTTCAAAAATTTGTCTTTCATTTACACCTCTAATCACTCAACCCATAATTAAATGAGTAATCTTCTAATAATTCGTATTAAATTAACAATACCATTGAAATCAACAAAATGAAACATTAGATTGAATTTCCTTTTTACACTGTTTGATATTAATGAAAATAAAATTTTCTAACTTTCCTAGTAAACATCTCTTAAAAGTTGGGAGTGAAACGTCCATACAATTGACAAAATGGGAGTGAAACGTCTAGGTGTGAACCGTCTTGGGAGTGAAACGTCTCAATAGTGAAACGTCTTGGGAGTGAAACGTCTGACATTCTCTGCAAGCGCTCGTTTTAAAGACTTATTTGTAATAAAACTATTACCAAGATGCACAGTGTGTTGTTTCCAAAGTTTTTTTTGTTCTATATAATGTACAATATAAATATTTGAATTTGGACATGACGATAGAATGCTTGAGTAGATATCTAGTGGATGTCGCGGAACAAATTTTTGTGAATCGATTATTGTCGCTTAACATAACAGTAACTGATTATCGGCGACTTGCGACAATCGGAACATCACTACCGTTCATTATCTCCCCAATGAATGTACACTTTCAACTCAAATTTAACATATAGATCCATCTTAGGAATAAGCAGTTCAAGTTTGAATTTGGTCGTGGTTCAATGATTTTGGACAAAGTTATCTTTCTTGAATGTTGGAAAAATTTTGAATTTTCAGCACTCATACTTTTGTGGAAATGTATATAGCCATTATAATATTTTGGCTAGAAATATGCAAATTGCAATATGCAAATTACAAAAGGTTAACACTGTATAGTTTCAGTGCCTTGAACTTTGTATAAAAATGGTTTGTGTTAACATTGAATATGTTTAAGGGTTTTGAACTTAAAATGAAAAAATAAAAATTTGTGCAAACAAATTTTGAACTAAATATTATAACATCTGAAATCTTGGCTGCATGAGGGGGCATCCGTGGTGTGACGACACATTTCTAGTTCATATTATACAATAAATACTGTACGAGTCTACTATATATATTCTTAGATGAGAATCTATAAGTGTCTGCCTTAAAATAGAGAGGTCTAAGGTTCAGATCCCAGTCATTGCCTGAGAATTTTTCAGGATAACAATAACAGCAAAAGGATATCATTCATAAATTGTGCCAAAATGATATTGTTTAACTTTTGAAGCATGTGACTCATCTGGCATCCCCTTGGCCATGCCAGATGAAATTTCAAGCATGTGTTTTAAATGTCTTTAAATGGAGCCAACTAGCTATTTGCCATATGTTAAACTAATGAAAACAAAAAGTGTTGTCTTTTCATTTATTCCGATGTTCAGATTAGCTTTAAAATAATTAGGAATGATTTTACAGATCAGAAATTACTAGTCAATATAAAACATGAATTTTATTCCCTTATTTATAACATGATGTATTAATTTACAAAGTTTTCAGTATGCCGAGGAAAAGAACAACACGTGCACAAAATACTCGTGCGACACCAAAGTTAAAACATCTCGAAGATGAGCTTGTAAATGGTATGTCAGTTGAAGAAAGAAAATCTAAATTAGATGGCCTTATCAAAGACTTTGATTACAATGGTAAGTTTGTTCTATATGGTTAAAGTGCTTGCCTGTCAAGGTTTTAAAGGTTTAAGTCTTACTGAGGTTACAACCATGTTTCTTTATATGAGAATTGACAAGAGCAGTTCAAATCAGCTTTAAACTTTCATCTCAATTGAGTCAAAACTAAACTAAAAATATTCAGATCTATTTATAACATTCTTTACAATAGGTTAAATATTACCGAATTATACATGTTTGTCATTTGATGTAGGCTTACAATTGTTGTAGTTTTGCCTTTTGTTGGAGCAAAAGGTATGAAAAATGCAACAAGGTTGATTTTTTTTAATGCAGTCATGTAAAATCTGTGTATAGCACAAATAAGCCACATAACTGTGATTACACAGAGCTTAGTAGAAGTTTGGGAGCAATTTACTCTTCTTCATTTTGGCTTGTGGCTTCCAAAATGTAATGATTTTCCTTTCTTTACCCATGTAACATGTGACTTTCAATGTCAGACATTTTGCAGTCACTGACTTTCAAATTTTGCAACTTATTGGAAGCCCCGAAGTACACCATGGTTTGCTTTAGTCTGTTTTTTTTTGCCCTGTACTAATTTATAAGTTTCGTTTTTGTGTATTTTGTTTTCATTATAGTTGAGAATGTCTGCAGGCAGTATGAAGAGGAAAGAGAAATTCTCCTGAAAGAAATTGAGAAACATTTCTACCACATACGATGTCAACTCTCACCGGTTAGAAATTTTATTTTCCATTCTGTATAATACAAACTGTATCTTAAAAGTATATTGACTATCATATCATATAACCTTTTATAATACCAAGCTCAATCCATCTTTCAATCTACAAAATTTCCCTCATGAAAGAAAAGTATGGCTGATTATGAATGAAATAATGCATTCAATTTAAGCATTGTCAATGAGGTTAGAAGATTTCATAGATAATTGATGTTTGCAGATTCAGTACAGGGTTTTTTTTTCCAGGATTTTGGGAAGATGACCCATACCCATGGAATTGGGAATTTCAGCGAAAATGTTTTGTTAAAAATTGGGAAAAAATGCATGACTTAAATTTTGCAGTGATTAAATGAATGCAAAGAATCACTGTCTAGGATGGCATCTTCAAACATTTAAGCACCATAACAGTGAAGAAGCCCTTATTTTCAAAGATTTTAGAATTTGTTATTCAATATTTTTATTTTGTAACTTTCAATTGGGAATTTTTTCCTGTGGATTGGGAAAATAATATACTATTTTGATTTTCAATTGGAAATATGACCGAATATCAGCTATAGAATAAGCCAAAATAAATCCCTTCAGTAATTATGAGTGAAGGATGAAAACCCAATTGACTAAAATTTAGCTTTTGTTACAATTCAGAAATCGGATCCAGGCTCCATATGATGTCCCTAGTATTACATGTATATAATATTTATATTGTTTCATTTTCTATTCCATTTAGATGGAGTTACAAATGACTGTGGAGCAATACCTAGGTAAACACATCTTCCTAAATACTTCATGCTAGCCATCATGTTATACATTTGTATGTAAATTGTTGAAAAAAATTATGTTCTGGTCAGTGTTGTTATCAGTATATTATAAAATTGGAAATCTTTTGTAGAGGTCACTTTAATGTAGAGCTGTCATTGTTAAGAGACAATATCAATGCATTGTTGATATTTTTCTGTTGATCAATAATTGATACACATTTTAAAAAATCAATAATTTTGATTAATTAATTAAATGTCTAGAAATTATGAAAATTCACCCAAAACATATGCAGAAACAGTAACTGTTATCCATGTCTAACATTATGCTGTAGTTATATAGTTGAAATATTTCACAGCAATGATGTCAAAAAGATACGGTCTGGAAAAAAATCATGTCATGGGCTTTTATAAACAAGACACTGAACAAGACATGTTTTTAACCTAGGACATTTAAACTGGTATGAAAATGAATTACAGACAAGTAATAATGTTAATTATTGATATTGTATATCGGTGTATCGTTGATATATGGTATCCGATATCGATCTATTGTTGATATGCTTTGCACTGAATCAATGGCAGCTCTACTTTAATGTTGTATTTGATTTTTTAAAGTGACATTATGTACATTAAATTGTACATGGTGGGTGAATAGGACAAAGTCAAAATAGCTTTAGATTTTGCAGTAATTGCATTCAATTTTATACTCTACTGGTTTCCTAGCAGTTTCCGTCCCCTGGCAGTTTTCCGGCCGTTTATCGTTTTCGTCCAGTACCGTCTATTTTTACCAGTAAAGCATCCACATTATTTCATCATTCAGAGAGACATTTGTTTTCTATGCTAAACAACATTCAAAATAGTACAACGATTTATATGTTTTGAAGTTTTGCCTGTTATTTAAAGTTACATATGAGAACTTGCGACTTTCAAAAATAAGCAACACCTGGGGAATTCTAGTTTGAATATCCATGAGCAATAACTAAGACCCCATTTTAGGTAAATCAATACTTTGGAAAATATTTTTGCAGACGACACGAAAAAGGTTGGGAAGTTCTGTTTGTCTGATAAAACCATCTTAACATTGCTTTATGGTACTGAATTATATTCAGAATAAAAAAAGGTCCGGAAAACTGCTATGAATTTTTGAATAAAGGTGAAAAAGGTGTTACGTTTCAGGCCTGTATTCAAATTAAAAAGTAAAATGAAAGTGCAACATTAAACACATGGCAATGCTGGACAGGTACCTAACTTTGTTCTGTCACAGTTTTGTACCCCTCCATAAAATGATTTTTATTTTATTTGTTAAAAAGTGCAATTTATGGCCGGAAACTGCTAGGAAACCAGTAATTCATGTGCATAATCAAAAACCCACATGAATCACTGAAAATTCTATAATTTATAGAATTTTCAGTGAGTCATGTGGGTTTTTGATATATATTGATATAGATAGATATATACCGGTGGATATTTATTAAATATCTATCGGTGTCCATTATTATAGTCAATCTGTTTAAATATATAGCTTACTCAGCTTAACTTGTCAAAAAACAAAATGAGCATAATGTAACGTTAAGTAAACTGCACTTAAATTATGAATAATAAAGAAACAAATATTATTCACGACTCTATTTGTATTGTTCATGTGTATATAGAAGTTTTAGTAAATCATGTGATTTAATCATTATTATAAACAATGAGGTATGAAATGAAATCATTTAGCCATAACTAGCTTAATTTGTGTAGTAGATAAAGTTACTAACAGCAAAAAACCTGGTCAGACTTCATAGTTCATTAGATAAAGGATTCTTGATAGGAGTCTTTAGATTAACCAGACTTCAACATTTTACCAGTTCATGTTTAATGTTGATTTTTGCTTAAGTCAGTGCTTGGGGATTGGACAATAACCACTACCGTCCATGAACAGGATCAATCAAACTAAACCTGCAACATTTTCATTTTTGCCTATTTGGGCCTTCTTTAGGGATTCTGTTTTTCTCTATTTTATTGTTATACATTGTAATTGATTACATTTCAGATTTTACACTGTCTGAAGATGCTGAGAAGGAAGATACGGTCACTATGCCACTCAGTACAACTTCACATATCACATCCTCTTTACAAAACAGTAAAAATGCCCTGTAAGTTATCACAAAATTATCAAATGTAATTTCATGTAAATATTTATCACATGTAAATTGTTAAAATTATCATTTTATCAAATGTAAATTTAATTGCTGGAAATTGATTCTAAAATTTTATGAGGTACATCAAATTTTTCAGGATATTATGTGTGGTCATGTTTTGATCCTGGGAATTTTTTCCATCCTATGACGACAGGACTATTTTCTGGGGTCTTCATTCAAGGAAAAGCAAATTTTTCTTTGAAATTTAGTATATGTCAAGGGCTTTACCCTGGAATAGACCCCGGGTTCTAAGCCAGGGATATATATAAGGTTCATTCCACTTTCTTTAGTTTATTATATACAAGTTTTACTCCTCAAATATACAGAGGGGTCTAATCCAGGAGATTGTCATGTCAAGCTATTTTGTCACTCTTCAAAGTATAAAATTTGCCTGATCATGTTTTGAGAATATTGAAAATCTACCTATCAGATCATGTCACCAACACTGATAGTGAAAAACATGACAGAGGAGATAATATGCATTGGTTTGATTGTTGATTAAATGATGAAATTTAATCAGTGACTGTGAACCTTGAAAATTTAAATTTAATTCTTGAGAAATTGAGTTTGATCCTTGAAAATTTTGTGTGATGGGCAATTTAAACCATTTGGTTTGAGAGTCTATCAAATACTCTGGGTTTGATATGATTATGTTTGTCTTGAGTGTCATTAGTTTCAAACTTGTGATCTCTGCTCTTTGATCGTAACAGTACTTGTGTGTCAGGCTTGAAATTTTTAACAAACAAACTAGTTTAACTTGAAAATTTGTCTGAAACTTCCTTGAAAGTTGAATTTTGATTTAGGTGTTGAAAAATAAAAAAACTTAAAGCTATGGATACCTGATTAATCTAAAAAATAATTATGGACCCCAGTCTTGAAAGAGCATGTGACATTGTTTTGTAACTCTCTGTGTTATATTTTTGAAGGAGTCGATACCGATCTAAACAGACTATAGAGACTATACCAGAAGAGGGAGGTACAGGGGTGCCCCAAACTAATAGTAAAAGGGTATGATAGCAAATCATCTTTATATTTTCTTTAAAGACTTACCTTCTTATTGTTAGAATTAGATCAAACTTAGGGGCGTCCGTGGCCGAGTGGTTAAGGTCGTTGACTTCAAATCACTTGCCCCTCACCGCTGTGGGTTCGAATCCCGACAGGGACTTTGGATTCTTTCATGTGAGGAAGCTATCCAGCTAGCTTACGGAACGTCGGTGGTTCTACTCAGGTGCCCGTTCGTGCCTGAAATAATTTACAGAATGGCACCTGAGGTCTTCCTCCACCAGTAAAGCTGGAACGTCGCGATATGACCTATACTGTGTCAATGTGACGTAAAAAACACCAAAACAAAAGATCAAACTTGAATATCTGTCTAAAAGTTTTCTGTTTGTGATAATGTAATATTTCTTGTTTTTAAAAAAATCAGATAATCTTTGCATACATTTTAAGGTCAGAATTTTGATTGTCAAGTTAAAAAAAAAATTGTATGTCAATATTTCTTTTATGCAATTCGGCACTTTTATCTAAAAATGAATAACTGTAAAGGAATTAGAACTTACAATGACTAATTTACACTAGATATGTTGTATCAAAATCTAGGATTTGCTGATACTTCAAAACTGATGAAAATATTTCTTGAACCCCGAGAAGAGCTAGATAATTTCTGGCAGGTTAATTAAATATCCAAAATATTGCTATTGCGTCAGAATGTTAATGTCAATACTAAATAGATACAAATGTACAAAGTGAAATGTTTTTAATACACTGCCCATTTTATAAACATGTCTGAGATAAGTATCCTCTTAATTTGTTAATAATTATTTTTTCAGGGTAGAAAAAAACCAGTTGGCAATAAAGGACAGGGTGTCTCGTTCATTGCTCCGCAGCCTTTGTCAGCAGTTCATAACAGGTAATGTACCAGTCTTACACAACCTCGGATCCCCACCCTGGGGAAAAGCAGCAATTTTGACATTTCAGGCTTAGCAAATCTCTAGTAATTTCCTCAAACTGAAAGGTCATATATCCTTAAGCTGCTGAAAATGTAAGCAATTAGCCTATCCCGCCAATAAAAGGCTAGCTAACCTGCAAAACTTGCAGAATGAACAGATAGGGCTATTAGCCTATTCATGTGTATAATATACTCAGGTGAGCTATTAATGACCATCTTGGCCCTCTTTTGTGTAGGAACATTTCATATAAATGTTAGTTACATTTACACTGGTTTATTATGTTAGGATAGAAAGCAAATATGGATGTAAAATAAAATAAATGGAATAATTGTTGAGGTTGGAGATTAAATGCATGGAATTCTTTCTGTCTTATTGATGTAAATCTTTATTAAGATTATTCCTGAATTGCATGGCTTTCAGACTCTGGAAAGCCCTCTTTCTATATGATATAAGACTGTAAAACAACAGTTTAAAACAGTGTTGTAATATATTTTCTATTATTCAACTTTTTCAGTTATATCACACCAGCTTCACAAAGAAACATAGCAACAACTGGTTGGGGAGCAACTCCACTTGTCACACCAAAGTTTGATCCCAGGTTTGTCTTTATTGGATAGTTTGTCACAATGATTGACACTCTTAGGGATTATGTATTTGTTACAGAAGAATGCTTAACATTTGTTTGCCTAAGTTTTCAATCATGAAACACAATGTTAGGAATAACTATCAAATATGGAACAGTTCCTTAATTATTGCACTAGATGTTCAGTTGAATGAAGGACACCCTTTTTGCTGTAAGGCTGTCATAATGAGGTATTATGAACAGTAGTGTCTGTGCGATGAAAAAAAGTAACATAAACGTCACAAATTCACTGTTGGCTATGATCATTCTTAAAAAGGAAGGGGATGAACATCATTTATTCCCATTCCACTGTTTAATGACGTTGTAACTAAAATTTAAAAGTAGTTATTATTATGTAAATGAAGAAATGTTAAAATGAATATGTGACAAGCAAACCACCTCCGTGGTCAAGAGGTTAGAGTCGATGATTTCTAATCCAGTTACCTCTCTGGCGTGGGTTTGATCCCCGGGAGATGCTTTGGTAGTTAAGCACGGAGGAAGGTAGTCTAGTACTGATGTAACTCTCCAGGAACGATGGTTAGGAAACTACCCGCCTATATGACTGAAATACTGTTGGGAAAAGGCATAAAATGAAACAAACAAACAATGTGACTAGCAGGCTGACCATATGTGTCATATATATATTTCAGATTGCCCATCACACCAGCTAATTCACGTCGACTAAAACCTGGTGAAGTTGTCATGTCTCTGGCAGGAAGTCCTGTCAATGCAGAAAATAACAGCAGGAGTAGAGTAAGTTTACCGTCTCTGTAGAACAAAGAAATTAATCAATACTGTGTTTTCTATTTACTGTAGAAGATAAATAACTGTATATTTGTTGTATTCATTCTCTTCATTCTCAAGTCTACATGTAAATTTTTACTTGACATTTTCGAAGAAATGATGACCAACTTGGTGATCACTGTCTGCTTTGATTTACCTGTCTGATTAACATTTTTAGTTACTATAGTTTAGCCATCTATCCACTTTAAAAGTGATCACAGGAAACAGTTTTTATGAACAGACAGACAGACGGACTGAAGGACACTCTAAAGTTAATATTTGAAACATCCCTGTTACCAAAATATATATATTTTAAAGAACTTTTCCAACAAATTTACTTAAAATATAGAAAAATTGAAACATTAGTGAATGGCCAATGGCCCTTCAGAATGTTGATGGGGTTCTAACCGGTAGGGGACTTATGGATTGCTTGCAATACTATGATAATTGCTTGTTTTAACCTAATATATTGATGAAGGTGTAAAAGCTTTATATTTTAAGAGCAAATCTTGTAAAGCTTTATATTTTAATAGCAGATCTTGTTTTTATATTACAGACACTAGTGTTAAATAATGGTGAGGAGATAGATATAGAGATACCTGATCGTGCCAACATTGACAGTCTTATGTCAACACTTAGAGACATCATGAAGAAAGGGCAAGATGCTCAATCATAATAATTGTGCACATTTTTAAAAAGGGTATAAAGCTATAAATGGGTAAATGAACGAAAATGTGTAAATCTGTAACTCCTGAAATATATATAAAAAATTCAAAACATGTAAAGTCCTGTTGTTAAATTTCAAAAATTTTGTTTTCATATTCATGATGTTTTCATATTCTTATGGTTATATCTTAAGAGTTTTAACACTTATCCAGCTGGAACTTGAAAGTGATTAGTCTTTGCCACTAGTATAGAACCAGGCCAGCCCGTACATCTGTGCAGTCTGACCAGGCTCTATACATTTGGTTAATTGATTTAGGGCAAAGCATATTAATGATATATCAATATCAGATGACAAATATTAACGATACACCGATGATTACTTACAATAACTTGTCTTTAATTCACTCTCACACCTGTCTAAATGATTTTAGTACAAAACATAATTATTCTGTTCATACAATTATGTGTTTTGTTTATAAATGACCTTTTTTGTCATCACTGCAATAAAATATGACTTTTATGTGACAACAGCATAGTGTTAAACTTAGACACCTGCTTCTGTATATGTTTTCTGTGAATTTTCATAATGTCTAGACATTTAACTAATTATCAATATAAGCGATTTTTTTTCAAATGTGTATCAATTATTAATGACAGAAAATACAAATGATACATTGAAGTTGTTTCAGTGAATGAGAGCTCTAGTTACTTGTATTTTGATATAGAGATACTGTAATACTTTTAGAATGGACTTCCAAATTTAAAACAGTATAATTCCGCAGGTTGAGGGTTGACCGTGAAAGAAGTAAAAATGTATTTGTTTCTGGGAATGATGTGCTTTTAACAAAAAAATTTGATTAATTTTATTTTACTAAAGATAACCCTATTTAGCTTTATACCCTTTTATGTCTCCAATTAAAACTGTCATCACATGTACAAATAAACTTGTATTGTTATTTATGTAAAGAATGGTTAATAAGTGTTTTTTGTCAATGTGATATTTGTATATAATAGAAAACCAGTTTGTAAAAATAGGCCAAATATTCATCAATTTCAAGTCATTCAAATTTATTTGCCCCTTTAGATAATTGAAAGTAACCATATTGTTTTTAAGTCCCATGTTAGGCGATACTATTATTCCCAAGTACTCTGGGGTGTCAATGTCTGGATGGCTTGGGTGCTAACATTAGACCTCTTACTCTAACCACAGGATTTTTTTATTCCGCATGTGAGGAAGCTATCCAGCTGGCTCATGTAATATGTGGTTTTTACTCGGGTGCCCATTTGTGCCTGACATAATGTACCTGAGGTCATCATCCACCAGTAAAGCTGTATAAGTCCTCCACCAATTCTCCTCAAATTTTTTTTCCAAAACCTTTTCAAATCTTATTTGGTCTTCTAGTTCATGTTATGGTTCACAGGTTATAACTATGAAAGTGCTAGGTTGTGCTTTTAAGTTTTAATGAATAATGGAGTGTATGTTTGTTTATTCCTTCAAGCTGGATTATTACTGGTTAAAAAGATTTTTGACAGGTTAAATGGCTATAAATAGATATTTATGACAAATTTATAATTCAGCAAACTTCTTTTTTAGAGAAAAAAAAGTGAGATTTCATAAATTGTCAGCAGCCATGTATATAAAATTATATAATCCAGGGTGTCCGTTTGACCCTTGAAATGACTCTTTGACCATTTAAATTTCCAAAAGGCCTGATTTGACCCTCAGGATTTTGTTAAAATCATGGGGATTTGACCTTGTAGTCGGTAAAACTTAGTCAAAATGACCCTCAGGATTTCATGGCTAGTGAATACCCTGTAATTGTCATGATTATCCTTTGAAAAGCGACATTAAAAGTGTGCAATGTTATAATATTGGTTATAAAGATTTTTTAACTATGCTCAGTATAAATGGTTTTAAGCTCATATAACTAGTGCTGCTTGGTGATTGTTATATTGCAAATAACTGTTAATGCAAAACCATATAACCTGTAAAAAGTTTTTATTCAATTTTTTTGATACTGCACAATTAGAATTTTTGATAAAAAGTTATTCATAAATCTGCAACAGATGTTTATATAGAAAACTACAACATCATGGTTATTCAATGAGAATAGATGTTAAAAAGAAGAAGTATTGGAATGTTGAATAATAAGTAGTGTGACTTTGATTTACCATGTGAATGGTGATAATGTAAAATTGTGTACACATGTAAATAAGCTTGTAATTGAAATATTCTATCCAAATATCATTCTTACGTGCTCTCCTTTGTATTTATTGTATGTACAGGTCTGTCCTGATGAAATTCTCCCCAGAAACAAGCATTCAGTAGCTGTGTTGTCCTTCCATACTTTCATTGTGCTTTCTTACAGTTTCTTTTCACAGCTTCATTTCTTAACCAACATCTTACATATTTGTTTAACTGTAATTTTGGTGTGAAGGTTAACAATATTAAATGTAGATTTTAACTGTTTTTCATATTGCCAGAATTCATGAACCAATGTCTATTATTAGCTCTTTTTCCACCCAAGAAAGTAGAGCTGTTGTCATGATCCTTCCATCGGCACCAGTTGACTTTTTTGTTAAGGTCAATTTTGTCAGAAACTATTTAGCTATTTACTTAAACTTGTGTACATTTTTTTGTTATAAAAAAAGACACCATTCCAAAAGGGCAAAAGTTCATACTCTTTCCTTATTACATAAATGTTTATTTTTTATAACAGAGCTAGTCACTGGGTCTGATTTTTTTCATAATTTTCTATTAACTCGAAGAAATATCATTTCATCACTTCTTGCAATGTATCTTTGTGTTTCTCATATTTATTCTGCATCTATAAAACATTTTTATGTTTAATTTTTTTCTCACATTTATGTTTGCTACATTCATTCTATATACTAAACATTTAATAAATCATTGTAAATAAATGTAAACCATTTTGGAAATAAAAACATTAAAAATCTTGAAAACTTAAGTTTAATTCTTTTTTTTGGTCATTTAACAAACAATCCTACATTATTTAGGTCGCTTTGTCAAATGTGCACTTATCACACATTGGATATTTCACGAAAAACATCAGAGAGAAGTTAACAAGCTGCAGGTCAGACAGAATGCTCGACTTTTCTCTATGTTTAAACATGGACAAGGGGGAGAAGTCAGTAAATTGTTTTTTTGTGTTTTTTTTTAATGCCAATTCCAATCGATCCGCATGGATGGCTTTCCTGGATATTATTTGCCATCTTGTTGACCTACAAGAATGAATGATAATTGAAATATTTTATCTGGACACTATATCTTGATTCGAACGACTTAGAAAAGTTCATTGGTTCTAAATTCAGAAAGATACATATATTTCAGTTGAAATTCATGAATAGAGTTGTGGGCCTTAGACTGTTACCTACAATAATGATCACACACATACTACCAGGATGGACAGTCTTACTTTAAATAACGATGTACAGAGACAAGACCAAAACTTTGTACTGAAGGAAATGGCGAATGGTGCAATAAAATAGACAACACATGAAGAAAATCCATTTTTTAAACATTTTAATTTTTTTCCTATAATAAAACAAAACAAGCAAAATGTGGAAAAAGTTATCTGTGACATTAAAATAAAAACGGCAACATATTATCTAACATAAAATGTGAAGAAAAAAATATAAATAGGCTTTAATTTTGCTTTTATATACAAATAAATTATGCTGTACACGTGAAATACTGTTAGAAAATATATATATACATGACACACTCTCTGTATTTATAAAACACATTTACAACAGATGCTTTTAATATAAAGCTATCATTATTTACAATATATCAACAGTTTACATTTCAACTATTACCCTGCTAAAATTGTATAATGGACTTGTCCTGCTTTGAAAATGGAACATTCCATTTAGGTTTTAAGGTATTTCAGGATCAAAATACTAAAAACTGAGAAGCAGACGGTATAGAAACCTGGTAAGACTACACAGTTCTACAGACTAATGATATAAGCAAGTTGTCATTGCCGTAAACATTTTTCATGATAAGGTCCTAGATATCTGCAGTAAAAAAATAATTAAATGATTGTACCATTCTAGTAAAGATGTGGAATTTTCATAATTTTTAAGAACAGTTTTGATCCACTACTTTGAAATACTTATCGATACAAATCAATGGAAAATGCAAATATCTCTTTTCACCCTGATATACAGTCGTCTGTTTTATCAGTCATCCAAGAGCTGCCTCCACATTCTTACTAACACATTTAGCATTGATTCATTCATACTAAAATATCTGATTTCCTAAATTAAAATCTAAGAACAACACCATGTATAACAGTTCCTACTGAGCACCGGAAACAATTAATGCTATATTACGGCAAGTAACACCATGAATAAGTTAAGGATAACAAGCTAACACAAAGTACATATGTACTTTTGATAAAGGCTTTCATTTGTAAAAACAAATAAACCCCCTCACAATGTTTTGGAAATTACTAACATACCAGCATAAGTTTATCTCTAATATGAACAATATGTGTTTATAAAACACAAATGCCCGGCTCCTTAATCTGTCAATAAATAGCATGAATATGCAAAACTTTCCTGAATTCAGAAAAGGTCAAGTTCCAATGAGTTTAAATGAAGCTCAAGCATGTGGGGTTTTCATATCGTGAAGCAAGACAGCTCTAGCTTGTAAAGTGATGATGTCATGGCCAACGTTAAATGTGTCTGCATAAATAAACAGGACAAAATTAAAATGCCTCTCGATTGATAGATTGATTGATTAATGTGCATAAACAAAGTTTAATGAAACTAACAATGGCTGAAGGAAAGTGAAATAAAGAGTTTAATGTAAGAACAATTTTCTTTGGGATCAAAAGAAATTGTTCTTGTCAAAGATAACTTGTAAGAGTTATCATGAGACTTCAACACATATCCCACTTAACATCATTGCAAGTAGGTGATGACTGACAGAACAATAACAAATATACCCAAATGGATTCAATATGCAACAAATTAACTATATTACACTATGGTTTGCAATAGAAGTTATAAAATATAACTATTTGTACTTAATCATTAAATGCAATGACTTGGATATGAGCCCAATCACTTTGTATTAAGTTCTTATTACTAAGGAATGTACAGAAGGGCAAAATAAAGAGATTAATAACACTTAATTTACTTTCATCAACACAGAAAATAATTCTCATATAATGAGGGAATAAGAATAAAATAAGTTCGGAACTACTTTTCAAGGCATAAGGACTTTAAATTCTTTGCCAATACCAATATAACATGTAATAATATACAATAAACAGATCAAATATTACACATATGCACATAAATCTTCAGACACACACATGTATATATTTAGAATCTTTATAACAATCAATGGCAGCACAATTTATTAATCGAATATGACATAAAATGCAATAAACATCAAAGAAATTTACACTATCCACTTATGAGCAATTTATAATGCAGTGTGAAATAAGAAATATACAACAATAAATGTATGATTAACAACAAGTACACATGTAATGAAAGACATTTAGACATGACTATTTCTACTTGGCACTTGATATAATTATTCTTTTGCACCGGCACATTATAGGGTATCACAGATAAATACCTATAATGAGAACATATATACATATACTGGGGAACGCAACATACATTTGTTATCAATTCTACAAACTTTTAAAACAAGGTCAATCAACATTGCAACAGGCAATAAACTTTTGATACATACTTTGATAAGAAAACGTGTAAATCTTTCCTTATATGTCACTCCCAATTGCACCTTGTGTAATCTTCGCAAACACATGTTCATACACACACACACATATAAAAATGCATAATTTATAATACACAAATATTATCACAGTTAACAAGCGCACCAAAAAAAAAGAAGATTTTATACAATTAACCCCAATCTTAGACTTGCCAAGTTTGGATTTTTTAATTGGAGCAGTCCATTTTGCTCTTATGGGTGTATTGGGATGCAACTTTGAAAAGTTGGTTAACCAACAGTATTATATAGAGAGCCCGGTCAGGCTGCATGGATGTGCTTGCTGACCTGGCTCTATCCTGGTGGTGAAGAATTATCAGTTTCTGCATTCAGTAAGTTACAACATACATGTACCTCAATTCTAATTATTTCATAGCCCAACTAAATATAGCTAAAGTATGATGCAAGCATGCTCAGACAATTACACTTTAATTTCTCATGTGATATACACAAAAGTATTACCCTACTGGTTTCTCCTGTTTTAAATACTAATCTACGTGCAATAAATTTTTCTAATATTGTCTAAGAATTACTAATGCTTAACAATTATAATACTGACAAAATTAAGTTTAAATTTAAAGCCATATGTATTAAAAAACAAAACCTTCCTCGTTAATACTGAATACTCTGTAATCTGTCTTTTTGGTAATTTCCATGTAACAAGCACACTATGATAGCACAAATATAACGGGCATTAAAACTGCCTTACATGTAAAGCACCAATAAACTATCGCCAAATGTTCACAACTTCAACTCTTTCATTACTATCATGACAAATGTTCACAACTTCCACTCTTACAATACTATCGCAATAACATCAGATATGAAACTTCTGATATGACTGAAATATGACTCGACCAGAAGTAATAAAACAAAAATATGACTGGACATATGGAACAAATAAAAAATATATATCTGAGGTATGGCTGATAAAACAAGGTTTAATTGTGATTTAAATAATGGTTTGTGACATGGCTAGAAACAGGACTGGAAATGTGATTCATATGAAAAGTGGAAATTATGCATGACTAAAACATCTTACTTTGATATACAATGTATACACATAGTAAACATTTAACTGGCAAAATATGATATTACTTACTGTATATATATCTGGGGAAAAAACTTTGTCCATATTCACTATGAATTCTGGGATACCATGAATTATGATAATGATTGGTGTAGGTCTTGACATTCAAATGAGATATCAATGGCAAAATCATGGTCTCAGTGTCTGCCTACAGTATCTTGTTCAATGTTAGATTACAAAAAATTTGCACTGGGGCAAAGTTATATAGATTTCGCTACAAATGGTTTGTATTGCCTTAGATCTGTTATATCAGAAAGAGACTGGATAGATTAATTGAAATGTGTCTGGAGGTTTGAATGGAAACATATATAGAAAACACATATATAAAAAAATATGTTATAGAACTCTTGAATGTCTCTGTGTAAAATACTCTATTACATTGAATTTTCCTTAACAATATAAGAAAGTTCATACAGGGATGTCATGACTTACTTTCAAAGGTGATGTGTATTATGAAACCTTAAAATGAACTTTAGTAATGAAAGAAACAATTTTCAAACCTTGAGCTGCATTAACCTTTATATTGATTTTAGTGCACCAAGGACATGAACTAATGCCATAGCAGGTATGATAATGCTTGCTGTCCAAAGAATTTACTGTAGGCTAATTTGTCCTGATATCAATTGATATGAATCTAGGCTTGTATTGCAGATGACAGATATATATTTTGATATGGATGATAAAAAATGCATTGAACTTTATTGTAAATTGAGGATATGATAATAGAACAAACAAACAAAAATTGAAAGAAACAATAATAAAAATAAGAACAATAATAAAAATAAGAAACAACAAAAGAAAAACAGCCTATAAATTTTTAAAATCTAAAACAAAGAAACAAAGGTGGCAATGCAACATAGCAACATGTATAATTGAATGTTTAACGTAGTAACATTTTACTATTCAGTTACCTTGTCAAAAATATTTCAATTTGAATAATGATCCTAGACTAACATAAAATACATGTACTTTGTAAATATATCTGTTATACATTTTTGCAGATCTTTTTATTCATGTATATACATAATACATGTATATAATTATATTCCTACGAATATGTTACACCTGATTTGACGAAGCAGTGTCTCGAGCACGCGCATGCTGCGGTTTTATATATAGCCGGTGATGGCTGTCCTCTGACGTCAGTTGTGAGATCACAATCATTAATTTACAAATGTCTACGATGTTACGTCTCGACTCATTCCGCAGGCACAAACTTGCTGGGTGCTACCATTAACACAACTTGCATGAAATACGTGATTTTATCTGGAAACAACAAAATGACATATTGCAGGCCTGTATTCACAAAAATTATAGGCATACAACAGAACTGAACAAAACATAACATAAAACGTGATATGACAGTGAAAATCATATTGCTGATTTCAAACTTGAGCAAACTAATCAATGTCAATCTTGAATTTTAAATTGTTAACGCTTATTGATAAATGGATTAATCATGATTGTATGCAAGATGGTTCAGTTCATAATAATCTGTACCGTATGAAAGGACACATCAACAGACATGTCATGCTGTCTTCAAGCTATGTAAACTATAGCAACATAATTTTGTTTACGGTATTACAGACTTTCTATTAAAGACCAATTCACTTTAAACAACGCAAAGTGTACTTATTGCAAAACCTTTTTGTAGATATTTCTAGAAGTTTCTAGAAGCCCAAAGACATCACATGATTTGGTTTTACAAATAATTATGTTAACTTACCCATAACAGGCAATTTCTTTTTGTAGACTACAAATGGAACATAGAACACTATCCCGCTAATAGAGAATAAGAAGGCATAGAAGAATTCTACACGAGGGTCCTGAATGATTGGCGCCACCACAAGATATATTGATACCAACAACACAAATATTGGTACAAACAATGGTACCTGAAAAATACAAATATTGTCTTCAGTTCAGTTAGAATATTAGATTGTCCATGCCAGATTCTCCCTCACTGCTGTAGGTTTGCATCCCAACAGCGGCTTTGGATTCTTTCATGAGAGGAAGCTATCCAGCTAGCTTATGGAACACCCGTGGTTCTAATCAAGTGTCCATTCGAGCCTGAAGGGTGGGAAGCAAACTGCTTCAGACAAACTGTTCTCACACAAATTGTAACTGTGAAAGTATCATTTGCCTGAACAATTTAATGTCTCTTTTACAAGGCTAGAAATTAAGCATTCAGTCAGGAATAAAGAACAACATCAAGCTCTTTACCTTATAAGGTCGTTTCCTCTCTTTCTGTGTACATCGTAACACAATCAATGACAACATCGTCAAACCATAGAAAAACCAGGCAGTAAAACTGAAGAAATCTATCAAGGCAAAGATTTCTCCAAAAAGCACCATGGCAGCAGATAAGATAACCTAAAAATAGAAACAAACGCCATCCATGTCTTTTCATTTCCACTTTAATCAATCTCACGAAACAGAAGTTAAGAAAATAACGGGTTTCACAAGTTTAATTAATCTGGAACAGGATCCAAAGAAAACGCTATAATGGGTATTTTTCCGTCTGCTTTTTTGATTAATTACTGGAAGAACGTAAGCAAATGGTCTTTTTTTATTGTCTGTAATTGATTAACTTTAGGTTTATTTGATGAATTGGAAACCAGTTTTACCAGCTTTGAAACGAGCAATTAAGTAAATTATATTGTCTGGTAGGGCGACTGTTTTGCCACAGAAAAATTATCAAATATACTTTATCAGAACATTGATGAAAGCAATCTTATATCTGACAAGTGATCTTTTTGTAGGATAAACATAGTACACATGGCCTTAGCGCAATACTAAAAACTTGACAGATATTCACATTAATCTATATGTCTAAATAACCATTCAAATTAAATTCAAGAGCTATTATCAATATATTCAAACTCTAGTTTTTAAAACACTCGCCCAACCCATTTCTGTCTTAGTTCAGAGACCTATACAATTGTATGTGACCGAGTCAGTGATATTTCTGACTAATACTGAATGAATAGAATTTATGTAACTGCCAGCAATTGAATATATAAATCAATGACAGTATAAGCGCCTAACCAATCCTTGTAATCATAAAGATATGCCCTCAAAATGCTACGATTAATTTACTGAAACTATTTCTGGCTTAAAGAAGATTTATGATTTATGTAAATGTAAGCATTTTATTGAATATATTACACGATTACCATGTTAAAACTAATCTCTTTCATTAAAATTAAAGCAAACACCAATGTATTTTTCTTGAGTCAATTTTCCATCCATATTACTATAATCAATGAGGCCTTTACTCGCCTACAAGACGGATCATTTATAAGACGCGTCCAAAATTTACCTTCTAATTGATAATATTTTATTTTTACTCTTATAAGTAATTTTCAAGATCCACTAAAAAAGACAAGATGAATTGTATAATCTGCTAAAATTTTAAAACAAAATATAAAAACATAAATAAAATCAAGAAATAATGTAGCTACAAGTAAATTTTCAGAAGCTTTCATACAAGTGGGTACAAATGTTACATAGACTGACATTTCAAGATTTTTGCTTAGTTATACTTACAGAAACTACTAGTGAGGGTAAAGGTGTATACTGTTTAACATGAATATATGAGAACACTTCTGGCAAATGACCCTCCCTAGCTGCTACATACATTACTCTGAAAACATTAAAATAATACTGTTAAATTTATCAATTTATATTTTCTGATTCATTTGGAATACAATATGTAGCAATATCACCAACTTACCTTAGAATATAATTTTCCATTATTTATAGGAAAACTAATACAAAAACAGCTACCTAATCCTCATTTTCATTTGTTAATGAAACACCAATTATTAATCATGAAAATTAACAAATTCCCAGAAGAGATAAGTGCTTTTAACTGTTGATAATCAGTGAACTTTGATATATTCCCCAACTGTTCCTTGGGGGCAACATTGTTTTCAATATGTGAGATTACATATATGTATATCAATACCTTTGAAAATATCCATCAAGATTTTTCATTTCATAATTAGAATACTGGTATTATCAAGATCTAACCTGCCTCCTATAAAGCAGGTACCATCAGCACCACAAAATGCTTACAGAATAACCCACATTCCCATGGTATTAAGTAAAGAGTAACTTTCACAGTGTCTTACCGGCCTCCTGTAAAGCAGGTTCAATTAGCACCACCAAATGCTGACACCACAAAATGCTGACATAATTACCCACATTTTCATGGTATTAAGTATAAAGTAACATTCACAGTTTCTTATCTGTCTCCAGAAAAGCAGGTTCAATTAGCACCACCAAATGCTGACACCACAAAATGCTGACATAATTATCCACATTTTCATGGTATTAAGTATAAAGTTACATTCACAGTGTCTTACCGGCCTCCTGTAAAGCAGGTTCAATTAGCACCACCAAATGCTGACACCACAAAATGCTGACATAATTACCCACATTTTCATGGTATTAAGTATAAAGTAACATTCACAGTTTCTTATCTGTCTCCTGAAAAGCAGGTTCAATTAGCACCACCAAATGCTGACACCACAAAATGCTGACATAATTACCCACATTTTCATGGTATTAAGTATAAAGTAACATTCACAGTTTCTTATCTGTCTCCAGAAAAGCAGGTTCAATTAGCACCACCAAATGCTGACACCACAAAATGCTGACATAATTACCCACATTTTCATGGTATTAAGTATAAAGTTACATTCACAGTGTCTTACCGGCCTCCTGTAAAGCAGGTTCCATTAGCACCACCAAATGCTGACATAATCACTGATATTGGTATAATTATAGCTGCTGAACCAAGAACAAACTCTCCCCATGTCTGTAACATAACATTTACAGTTATTTGAAGAAGTAATTGAATACTTCAATATCATTAAAACATTTCCTTACTGTTTTATCTTAAAATAATAGAATGGAAGAAAATCAATTTCATTTGAAAACAAATAATAACCATATCACTGTTTCATATTTCATATGTTTACAGGCTAACTTGATCATGCCTTGGACATACTAGTAAATTGACCATCTTATTTGATGAAGACAGTCACATTAAAATCTCTGTTTTAACAACATACAGTATCATGTATGCCAACAAGATAACTTACCGATGCTACAGCATTAGACAACAGGATATCTTGTTTAGACAGGACTGTGAAGTATGATATATTGATACATATATAACATATTGTTACTAGAGGGATGCCAATCATAATAGCTCTTGGTAAATTTCTGAAATACACAAAAAAATATAAATCATTACCATACCTAGATGAACAATCTTGAAACCATCATAGAAAGTTTATCTATATTTAGATTCTTAACCCCTAACTTGCTGAATTTATAAAATGGACTTGTCCAGCTTCAATTTTTTGGATCTGTCCATTATCAATAGTGGGGACATCAAGATGAAAAATTTAAAGTAAGTCTGTTAACAGTATAGAGCCTGGTTAGACTCCATGAAGTTACAGGCTGGCCTGACTCTATACTGGTGGCAAAGGATTATAATTTTTAGTTCCAGCAGGACTAGGGTTCAATTATCATTTAAAATTGTCTATATAATTGTTTTGATAAACAAATGAGGCATATTAAAGTTTTAAAATATAAACATAAAGTTCTGTACATCTTTTAAATGAAAATGATGGACTATCAGTAGCAGTGCAAAATATTTGCCACTATCAATAAAGTGAATAAAGTAAAATCTAATCCATATTTTCAGGGCTTTTTCAATCTTATTCTGGAAGTTGATTAATTTTATAGGTTTCCATGGATATTGAACCAGTGTGACACTGTCAAGATTTCTGCATCAATCTACTCAAGCAAAGATAAATACTAAATGACTTCTGACATTTTGCGTCAATCAAAATTGTGAAATACTCAAGCCAGCGTAATACTCTAGACAGATAAGTTTACTTACTTATATGGTTGTCTAATTTCTTCAGTTACATAATTCAAATTGTTCCTGAAAAGATATACAAGAAGACGGCTGTTTAAATTTGAAGACTTGTGATGAAATATAAATCTCTCCTATCCAGAAAAAAATAGAGATATGCATTGCTCTTCAATAGCATCATACATGAAATCTTGATTCAAAATAAAGTAGCAATGAGACTTTCTAAAAGAAAAAATAATAAAAAAGTTATTTCTGAGTACACTGTATATTGCTTCATTATCTTATGCATGTCTTTCTGTTTTAAGTGCCCCAGCATTTTCAATGTTGGAAATTAAAATACTTGTTTTTAGTCTTTTGGACCTCAGTGGAGTTCCTATGCTGTCCCTTAAACAACAAAATTTGCTGATTTTCATTATTGGAACACAATTTTGGATAGAATATTAAAACACTTGGACAAACAAGACTGGTATATGAATAGATCTTAATTAAAAGTAGCCATACCAGCCATCATAAGCCCAAAGACCATCATAAAATGCAAGCGCTACCATAGAAACAGATTCTGTAGTATCTTCAAACCCTGTCTCCAAATGTTCAGTGTAACCTATCAATATAACATGGATTGCATGTAAAATAAGCATAAAAAATAAAATATCTCCATTTCATTGTCAATTTGTAAGAAGTTACCCTTATATTCAACAATAATAATAGATATGATTTTTTGTAGCTATCTTTTTTTAACTATATCATGCAATATGATTTGTAAGTCATAATAAGTATACAGTAACTAGTATAAATGTATCAGGAGTGACACAACAAGAAATGAGTAAGTTTTTACCAGTATTGATTAGACTTTTTTATGAGTGTACGTAAGTTTCTCCTCTACTGAAAATTTTGCATCACATTACTTTTACACATTCACATTTTATCTCCATGAAAAATAGCCACACCTCCTACAAAATTTGTGTGCTTTAAGTTTCCTTGTGTGAGCACGTAAGCCACGTCTCCTATGAAAATTGAACCTTGTGTGAGCACATTAACTCTGCCTCAAATGAAATTTTTGTGTTACCTTGTGTGGACATATAAGCCTAAACCCCAATGAAACAAAATTGTAGTATATTTTACCTTGTGTGAGCATGTATGCTCCTCCTCCAATTATTATAGCAATAGCTATAAGCTTCATCACAGTGAAAAAATTTTGAACTTTGGTTGCCAACGACACACTGTATGCATTAATAAATGTGATTAAAACTGAAAAAGAAAAAAAAACAACCTCTTGTTAGGAAACCATTGCACAAAAATAAATTAAAATCTAAAATTGGACACTACGCCAACCTTCCTATCTCTCACTTTATAGTTTCCACCTTACATTGTGATTATATTTATGGGAATTGTAACGAATCAGGGAAAGGAAAGTTCCTTTGGACCCTTGAAAAATCTGAACATTGAAATTCATGACCATTTTTTTTTTTTGATAATGTAGGTACACAATAAGGTAAATGACTCCTTTTAAACCATGATGGTTGATTTCTTTTTACTATTTATATATATATTTTTTTTTGAGGGAGGGTAGGTTACAATGTCACACCAACACATTTCGTCATTGCTGCAACTTTCCATGTGTACAGAGGTGGGAAGGTAGAAAGACCAATTGTGTCCCTATGTCGATTAAAAAATATAAACTGAGACAAAATAAACAGCTAGACCCTACTCAGTTTGTGTTTGATAAAAGGATATGTCAATAGAACAGTTTAATTGCCTCTTTTATCATACTGTTTAGACAGCTCTCAAAGTTTTAAAATACAAGTGTTATCATTATAATTACTTGTATTATATGATACTGAGCAATCATAAAAACAGCCAGCCAGCATTTAGACAATTTCAGTTTGTTTCCCAATATCTTTGAATACCATGAACATCAGAAATAACATTCGAACACCAGGTATAAGACTAATTAGTGAAGGAATATATAAAGGTTTTGTTGAGTTTTGTTTAATTGCTTTTTAAATGGTGATACACAAACTGTCTATTGTACTGGAAAATTCCAGATTATCTTTCCATTATTCTACTAGCAATTAATTTGCCTTTGCCGCCAGTATAGAGCCAGGCCAGCCTGAAACTCCATGCAGTCTGAGCAGGCTTTATAGTGCTGGCTGAACAATTTCAAATTTCTATCTCGATTTCCATTAAATTGATAATGGACAGTTCAAGAAGTGCAAACTGGACAAGTCCATTTAAGAAATTCAATAATTTATTGTCTAATATACTTTACTAAACATCTGATCGACAGTGACAATTTTCAGTAAGTTTGTCCTTCAGCATTTCAAACCACTGTATGGCTCTAAATGACTAGGGGAGATATATGTAAGTCACTAATTTGACAACAATGTGAGAGTTTATCAATCGAATAATACACTGTTTGATTTTTTTCCGACCCTGTTTTAGTTTTTCTACATACTAACATTTCTGTCGAATAACATTTAAAACATACAGAGCACTTATTCAGCGAAAATAAATGTTTGACATTGACTATCATTCTTTCTGACGACTCTGACAATTTTCATGTAGCAATGCCAAAACGTCTGGGAAAACAGTATTTATAGACAAAGTACCAGTTAAAATGCACCAGACTTCATACCAAATGAAAAAATACGTATTTGTTGATTGTGAATTGTTTTGACACATGTAAGATTTGAGGAAACTGTTCAATATAAATTAATGTAATAAATGATGGCCTTGTAATTTTTTCTAGTAGAAATTTATTCAGATGACTTCATTTTTGCATTCCCTCTTAGATATTCTTACAAACTTACATAGACACAGGACAGCCACCAGCTTGACAATTAAATCCGTTGACCCGCACGGTCCCCAAAACGGCTCCACTACATACACGGCAAAACTCATGGAAGTTACACCAAACAACGCTGGCTTCAGGATGAGAACCGATGTCCAGGCAAACAAGAATGACGGTATGGGTCCGAGAATACGATGGAGAGGACTAAATGCTTCCTGCAAGTACGCATACTCCGCCCCAGACTTTGTGATCATAGTACCAAGCTCTGCGTACGACAGTGCACCTTTTAAAAGCAGAAACAAGGTACAGAAATTAACATCAACAACAATAAAGATGACATGCATGGAAATATTATGAGATAAGCATGTACGTATTAATTGAAGCACTCAACCAATAAGCAATTGGGTATTGCCAAGTTTAAGATATCAAATTTGAAATGAACTCTTTTTTTTTTGTTCTTAATTTTTTCATTATTTTATCCAAATGATTTATAACTTGAAATGCACAAACAAATTCAACATGACTGTGTAACATGTAAATACATCACTTGTCTCTATTGCATGTCATTAATTTTTAATAAATGTATATTAAAAGGATCAACCTAAGATTGAGTTCTGTGCCTTTCCTGTCTTTAATTCTGAAATTGCGTAAAGATCGTAGGGGTGCTTTGAGAGTTTCACCTTTTTAGATTTTGTTAAATCTAAGAGAAGTTGTTAATGTGGCACCTATACTTATAAAATTAGATATCTCTGTCAAAAATATTTGAAGAAAAAAAAACTATAAACAATTATATGCAATTAGACGAGATGTTTATACATAAGCTACACAATGTAAGCTAAAAACACTATTTAATTAAACATATGATGACTTAGGCGAAATATTACTTGAGAAAGAAGTGTTTTATTAAGCAACAAATTTGTGAACTAAGTGACCCCAACAGTACTTTGATAAATGACCTTTCAATGAGACGATTACTGTGAAGAATACATGAGTTAATTGACACCATGTTAAAAACACATAGGGGAACGTAAAAACAAGCGATTTTATGGTTATTATTACACTCAGATGACAAATTATATTTTTTCGAGGGTTCGTTTCTTTGAATTAAAAAATTCTGCAGGGGGGGAGGGGGATCTGATGTGTGTGTAAAACAGTGAAATGTTTAATCACGCGTGTCATGTTTGCCTCTCCACAACAAATGATATAACTAACTAGCTAAGCAATGGAGGACAGAATGACACGGCTATTGTGTACACAATCGAGAAAATGAAATTTGAAACGCAATTTTTCTTTGTTCAATGTTTTTCCTTCCCAGTGAAAAAACAGAACAAAGTTTTAGAGACCAGGTCGCGCAGTCGAATAAAGCCAATGATGAAAAAATATTTGCCAAACAATGGGGAAATCTGTTTTGTTTATCCTTCCCAGTGAATAAACGCAACAAATCAATTCAGAATTTTGAGTTGTTCTCTCGCTGATCATATGTTGCACAATGTCTTCCCAGTGACAAAGCACAACCGTCAGGAATAAATTTCAAGTTTTTAACCCTGGTCAGGTTCCGAAAGTGAAAACATCGGGGGCCGAAAATAAAGTTTTTCATCACCTTTCCTTCCCAGTGAAAAAGTGAAGAAAAGACTTTCCCTAAATTAGCCACATAGCGTCACTCCATTTTTTTTAAACAAATGATAAAACTGCTTGTCGTCTCGAGAAACATTCTCTGCTCCTGCAAATACATAAAATTGTTTAACAAATAATTAAACACACAATATGGCGGCAACCCGTAGGTGCTGTCCCAGAAAATTTTATTCATGGAGGGCGAACTGGCATTGTGGAACCTTAAAACTCCTAAAGAACGTAAAACCTCATTTGGTCACCTAATTAAAGGGCCATGTCTATCTCTCCTGAAACATTGGAGGATAAACAAGCCCTTCATAACTGCTTCCAAGGTCAATCAAAATTTTATTATGCCCAAGTATTAAATACAGTATGAAAAATTGTGATGCTTCCCACATTAATATTACATAAAAATCTGATTCTTTTTTTAATTTTGAAATTTTATTGTTCTTTTACTCCTAAATTTCTTCCCTTGGAAACAATTCTGACAGACATTAAAAAAATTGGCTCAGGACGGGCTCAGACCCCTGCGTGTCTCTCCGGAAATAAAAGGAGGGCAAGACAGGTGTCCTACAAGTTTAGGGGTCATATTCAGGGCCATTGTCAAATCACTCTACCAACACCATAACTATATACAATTCTACAATAAAAAGTCTAGCATGTGTATACATAATATCATAGAATGTGCAGAAGAAAAAATCAAACTGGTCACAAAATAATATTTGCCATTATGGCTTAATTTTTTTTTCTCGTATCTGAATTTGTGTTCATATTTCACAGGGTTCTTTTTTTATTATACATATTTTAAACATGCCTGGAAAGATTGTTAGTTAAACACAAGGATTTGAAAACTATGTATTCAACAGCTGCCAATAAAAAAGTCATAGGTCAGTGACATAAAATTGCCTAAAAACACAACAACAACAATCTTCAAAAAAATTTTCCAGTCATGTGACTTACAAACTTATACTGCCAGCTATTGTATACTGTAGTTTTTTAAAATGCACCCAAAAAAATTGAAATACGCGTTTGTACTGTACAGACATAGAATTATTCTAGGTTTATGGAAATTTGGTCCGAATATAAAACTTGGAAATTACACTCAGGGGGGGAAAAATAAGTGTGACTTGAAAACAAAAGTTTTCTGACTAACAAAAGATCAAAGCTAAGCTTTGTTAAGATTGAAGATTTACATTTTTTTTAATATAAAATAATGAGGTAATTTGAATATCTGTTTTGTTCAGCTAATGGCAAAACTTTTTACTAATATGGATTCCAGTAAGAATTTGCATACTAAAAAGCATTTTATATTTGTAAAATATAAATTTCTTTGTAAATTTTGTGTTCAATGAAAGACTGGATGTTGTTGTTTTTAATGAATCAAACAAAAAAACGTTGGATGTATGCGCACTGTTAACTAAATAAAATTGGGGAATTTTCCATCTATATATATATAATTATATATAATCAGATATAAATATGACTGTTACAAAAAAAAGCAAAATCAGTTAAACTGAAACAGTTAGTGCCTCTATTTAATCTATCTTCATTTTTCTTTTGTTTTTGTTTTCAATAATAATTTTATTATCGAAAATGAAAATATGAGACAACAAGAAAATGGGACGAACAAAGGTTGTGCATATTTTAACCAAATTTGGCCTGATGCATGCAACGTTAAGCATTATAAACGTGACACCTTATTGACTGTCGAGAAAGACACGTAGATCGCCACAGTCAAAAATATTCGGGTTGGCAAGATCTGTCATATAACAAAAACGTTCGAAATGTAAAATTTGTAAACAAAAAATAGTTCACCTTTTCAATCAACTTGAGAATGCATTTTTCTCACGGCATGATCTTTCGCTTTGTACTGTGTAGCCACTAACACATCATTTGTGACTTCAGTACACTTGTGTTTCACTGTTGTACTACTTACTTAAACAAAATAATTTATAAAAAAATGAATTTTGAATGTCACTCATTCTTACCATTATAAAAAATCTAAGATATTAAAGAACTTTTTTGAGTATTTGTTCAAAAAAAAAGAAAGAAAAAAGTTAAAAAAAATGTTTGCATTCATTTTTGGTACCAGTTTTTGCTTTTAACACAGAGTATTTTTTTCTTAAGTCAAAAGCATTGCCAAATAGTTACTGATATTATCACAAAATATCTAATCTTCACTGAAATTCTTACATATCTATTTGAATGTGCTTCTTTCTAACAAATTACGAAACACAAGATATGTCAAAGGGGAGCCATTCTCAGCACACCCCCAAACTCCTCACCAATTTTTTTTTTAAAATCGCCAAAAACTAAAGAAATGAGTGACATTTTTATGTTTTTGAAATTTGGTTAGTTATCACCGACCTAAAATTGGTCAATGCTAACTAAGGGTAGGTAAATGCTAGACCTTGCCAACTTTGGTTTAGAGGTTATAATTATAATATATAAATAGAATAGGGGGTTGAAGAAGAGAACAAATGTACATCTGAAAATAGATGTACACAAGTTCGCTTTTCCAGTCCCGCCAAAATTACATACATACATATTACTCTCCGAAAACCTTGTTTTTTTTTTGCATATGGAGACTTCCATAAATATTGTCAGACTTCAGACAACCCAAAAGCATTTTGCTTTTCTTATTTTGTCATAAAATCATAACAAAATAAATAAATAACACAGGAAATTTGATTTCAGAATGTCAAAAATTCACAAAAAAAATGTGCCAAAATTATGTCTGTTTTAACTCACGACTTAAGATTATTTTCATTTACTTTCAGACAAATGGTTCATTTAAAAGTCTGTATTTTATTAAAAGTCACAAACAAAGCCATTCCCCTACATCCACATAAGAAGATTATTATTACGAAGTTTAATATTGGAATTAAGAAAAGCAGAATGGTTTCAGTCTGACAGTCTTAGCCAAAATTGGAGAGGGGTTGATCAACTAGTTTAATGAATACTTGTGTAGATTTACAATGGGGAATGCCAAGTTGGTCTCTCCATTTTGTTATTTATGGAACAGCCCTTTGCACCATAATATTCAAAATTTTCAATAGATCCTGTGTAGGCTGAAGTCTTGGAAGTTCCGGTGCAGATTTCTTTTTTTCCGGAAAACATCAGTCATCCGTAACCTGTTCAAATAAGAGCATAGTGAAACATACATGAAAATGGGGAAATCTCCCCTCAATACAGAAAAAAAAAGAAAAAAGAAAATACGACAAATTTTCAAAATATTTCGTATAACTTTTTTAAAAGCTTGAGCTCAAATGTAAAAATTTCTTGAACAAACATAAGTAACACACACACACACAAGCAGAAAACAATAGAATTTCTGGCTCTGGATTGATTTAATATAATACAAACAATGAATACATGAAGGTTCTGGGAATATTTGTATCATGATAAATATGCATATGGGTATTTAGATTGTAAGAGACTGTTAGGTATATAGTAAGGTGGGTGGGGTACCAAAAAAAAAAGTCGGGTTAGATCTGCGGGTGGTAATTCAATTGCTTTCTGTATATATCTAGTTGCTCCCTTCCAACTATTTCTACCAGCATGTATCATATATATGAGCATACCTATTATACAAATGTAGCTACTTTGCGAAAATATCTTATATTTAATTTCCTTCGTCTTCATTTTTAACATAACAATAATTTCACTTTAAAACAAAAAAATCTCTGAACCATCACAAATATTTTATCAGTGAGCATATGCTCATTTCTGATTAAGCCTTTCGTGAATTCCAAAATCAAGTTTATAAACATCAAATGAATATCAATATTGTCTTAGCACAAAATTACAAAGTATCTTATTGCCAGTTTTTCAGTAGTAAAGGTTATCATTTTATGTCACAATAAAATTTGTTGCTTGATTTTGTTAGGTTTTAAATTACATTGTCACTTATAATATAGGTTAAATGCCAACTTTATTGGTGGAGGAAGATCTGCATTATTTCTGGCGTGAACCCGAGTAGGACCATCGATCTTCCATAAAATAAACTGGGTAACTTCCTCACATGTAAGAGTCTGAAGATCCTGATTTAGGCAACATGTACGAATCAAGAATAACATGTACCAGTCTCAGACATTTGAATGTAAGTGTGAATGTATACCTGTAAACGATTACCTGTATACCCCCCATGCAATATTTGTATATACAAAAGTTCATGCAGTATATACTGATCAACTGCCAGTCATACTCAATGACAAATCTACTTATCAGCATACTCTCACAAATAAGAGCAGACCAGATGCATGTTATGCATTTTAAATAGATTACAGCAATAAAGGACGTCTTTTAGCCAGATAAAATCCGATTAAACGGTGATAAATAACCTATAATAGGATCACAGGGGCAAAAACATTCACACAGTCTGCACCAGTTTTTAAAAGTCAATTTTTTTTAAATTTACATATTTTTTGTAGGTCTTTAAATAGAATCAATGAGTGCATGTAAACAGGTATTAAAATATTCAAGACAGATTAACTCACTTTTAGACATTTGGCAATATTTCACGATTTCTATACTTAAGACTACTTTAGAACCAAAACAATTTCTTATGTTTAAAGAAAATCCCATGTTTATGTAACAGCTTCTATATTTAAAGGGACTCCACTAAGTTTTTTTAACATGATGGGACTGGGAATAAATTTTCGAATTAAATGTACCTTTTGATGGAGGTCTAGACCAAATAACTTGTGTGCAAAATATCATATCATTCACTCATTCCAGTTTTTACATAATTAAAATATTTTTTGTGCAAAATTGATTAAAAATTGAAAAGATTAAACACTTTTAATTTTAATCAGGCTAAAAATCAAAGTAATTATTGATTTTCAATTTAATGATGGGTATAATTCTTATCATCTTTATTATATTTTTCCATTTTAAGTACCCAATTTGATCATTGTATGATTCTGATCCTATGTGGAGTCCCTTTAAGACAGATTAAATTACTTTTAGACATTTGGCTATTTTTGGCAATCTTTCACAATTTTGATACTCTTCATTAGAACTGAATCAATCTTTTACATTACTGGTCCCAAGAAATGTAACGGCTTCTACATATAAGGCCTTTAATCAAGTGTTCATAGAATTTCTACAGCATACTGTTTATGATATACTCATATTTTTTCTTTTGCCTTAATGCGAATTTAATGGTCTTGGCCCTAATACAAAAGTAAATGACTACATTCTGTAATGGGTATTAAGTAACATCATAAAATAAGCTCTTGTCAAATGGTTACTTCCAGAATAATGACAACTGGAGAATTATACTTTGGGAATTCATATTGGACAGAAGTAAGAGTAATAATAGATTAGATTAGATATCTTACATCTGTTATCACTGATCATTGACAGAGATCTTGCTAGAGTGCATACATTCATCCTAGCAACAGCCTAAACAAGACTCAAATCCACAAAATGGAATAAAACCGACTCTTAAAACTGCCAATAATAGTTGCTAAGCAACAAGTGTCAACCCTGCATCCATTGGTTGAGATGAATAGAATATAAACATCTTGTATTGTACACAATGTTATCTCATTCAAGCAAAACTCAGTCATTCCATATAAAGTACATTATTTGTAAACTTTACCAACATTTTAGTCATAAAGAAGCTCTATTCTTCGAATCCCAAAGCAAAACTTGGCTTAGTTGTGAAAACATGGATCTTTCACATATATTATCAATGCTCTAATATAATACCATTTTTTATATCATATAACAATAAGTACTGTACTGTACTAACTCTTCACAATATGAACAAATTTCTATTTCTCTTTTTTTTAAAGAAGAAGTAAAATGTTTGAACAAATAAAACTAGGAATACATATAGAAGATATATAAATAAAACAAAACTTTATGAAAGTGGTTTCTGGGATAAAATCATCACATTCAGTATGGTTAAGTGATCTCTTCTAAAACAACATTAACAACAACAAAATCAACAATAACTGATCTTTATCAAACTACATAAGTGACAAAGCATACTATATGTACAGTTTATGTCGAAGATCTCATGCAAGATATTTTGACCTCAATACATTAATGTAAAGTTAATATTATAAACAGAAAAAAACATTTTTCTACAGTTCTGCGTACAACAATTTTTTTAGTCTTCTTTTCCAAAATATTTACCTTTACAACATTTGAGTAAAGAGAATACATAATAATCATATATAGGTTACACAGATTTTCCAAATATTCAAATTGTAACATAAATTAACAATAGTTACTCTTCAGGAGAATTTATGGAAATGTTTGAACTTACCTAGAAGTGCAATAAGTCCACATAAGCTCCATACAATCAGACTTAAACCCACAGAGCCACTGCTCTGTAGCACACCCTTTGGTGAGATAAAAATACCAGAACCTGCAATGTAAGAAATAATAAAATCATAACAAAGGCTCCCAAAAAATCAGACAGGCAAAAAAGAAAAATCAAAGGCAATACAAAATATTACCAAAAATATTATAACATACAATTAGGCAAGAAACAAAATAAACAAAATCAAGAAAGGCAAGCAAGAACATAAACAAGCTAAGGAACATTAATATAAATAAAGGCAGGAAAAATATGGTCAAGGTGAGTTTCTAAAAAACCTAGCTTTCTAATCAATCCTTTTTGCATTTGATTGTAATTATATTGCATATATAATTATGTTAGACTGAAATAAAATATTGTTTAAACTAACTGTTGCCACTCAACAATGGACAACAACTCATTTTTTCACTGACCTATGCCTTTTAAGCTCAATTGAGCTTATTATTTAGATGAGCTAAATCTTACCTAAAGGGGGAAGAACTATTTTGCTATTATCAAGTGGTCATAGTGTAACGTGCACGGGCTAGCTGTTATACATAATTTTTCTTATGGCTACTTTGCCAGTTGATTGGTTACAAATGACTATAAAATGATTTATTCAAACTTTGGAATCAAGTTTAATTAACTAATGTTATAACAGTAATGTGCTTGAAAGGTAATAAGTGGTCCTTGAACTTGATATAAAATTGGGGTGACACTTTTTAGGCTATTTAATATATATAGAAAAAATCACTTGGATATCGAGTTTTCAATACTTTAGTAATAACAATTACACCTAACGCAATGTTAAATTGATGCAATTGAAATACTTCGTAAATAGTGCAAGAACCCAAGTAATTAAACTAAAATATTAATTAATTATTTCTGTGGTGTTGACACTTCGGCAGCTGGACAGAGACTGACTGTCCGCAGCTTTGAGCTCTATTTATACCCAATAATATAGTTATATTTAATGATCGTTTACTGAAGTTGAAGAAATCAAGCATCCAAGGGATATTGATAATGGTTCGAATATTGGTACGAATGGCATTGAGTTCGAATGATTTTAAGTACGAATTGTTCTGATATTTTAGAAATAATAAAAATATGCCCGTTATATCAAATTATTGCTACGAATAAGTTGTTAAATCTATTCATTTAGTTTTTATGTATTATTTACTTATTTATAAAAGATCAAACTATACATTTAAACACAGGATAACATATTTGTTTACAATTTAATTCACCGACAATTTAGGTACAAAACCACTAAATCATTATAGAATCTAGGCAGAATAGAACAATCGTCACATTACCCCCGTCTCTCAAAAATCATGCGTCCCGCATGATGCATATTATTTAAACTATATTACAACTTTTACGCAATAAAATAACCAAAGACATATGTGTTTATTTATATATTTTATTTAATTCTGCTTATATCGCAAGAATTATCATATCTTTATAAACGAGACATATAGTTCCATATCTGGATCAAGATCACAGTCTTCTTCTTCCACATCTTGTTTCTTAACTTGTTCACCTTTATTTAACTTGAATCACTTTGTCATCTTTGAAAATCAGACTCTATCCCATGTTTTATTTTCATATGCCTCTTCAGATACTGTAATTTAAGGAAAACCTTATTACATCTTATGCAGGTTCTTCCTTTTTCCTCTCTCTTTCTACATTCAGTTATGTGTCTCTCGAAAGTTACGTTCTCCGGAATGCTCGTCTTACATACAGGGCACAGTGGTCGCATAATCCGGTTTCCATTTTTCACACTGCCTTCTTTAATTTCGCTTGTCTTTGTCCCCGCCATCGAAGTACTTAAAATAGAATTTTCATAATGCTTAGCCCTATCTCGATTTTTACGTTGTTTTCTTTTTATTTCTACTTGAACATTATCTTTCTGCTTTACTTCTGGTCCTGTCTCTCTACATTTGACCGTCGTAGATTCAGAAGATTTATTGACTTCATCGGATAGATCAATACCAAAGCACCCTATTTTACCAGTACAATATAAATTCACAATTTGCTCTTTCAATTTTATTGTATTTCTAATAACATCAATACAAACACCATACTGTTGCATGAAGTCAAGACCTAAAACAACATCATTTCCGATTTCAGCTACTACAACCTTGGTCTTATAAAGGTGTCTTTTAAACCTCAGGTATATCTCTGTTTGTCCCTTGACTTTTAATAGATCACCACTTGTTGATGATACAGAAAGTTCAAAAGGTGTAATTTTGTTCTTGCTCTTAAGTTTAAGCCAAAGATTTTCTGAGATAACAGTAACGGTAGCTCCTGTATCTACTAAGCAATTGACTGACACATTACCAACCTTTGCAGAAGCATATAAACCAGCCATTAAATGTCCTGACGAATTAATATTTTGTTTGTCATTTTCGCTCCTTGTTGTTTTGTCAGTTGCGTGAGTACTTCTGTTTTGTAGATTTTGTCCATGTACTTCATTACAATTTCGCCCTGTACGATTTCTTCTTGTATAACCACTATCAGATCGCTTATAAACAGAGGTATTAATGTAAGGTTTTCTTTGTCTATTTTCATGGTAATAACGATGTTGAAAGTTCTTTTGTGGAAAATGTTGTACACGCCTTTGATCATAACTATTTGGTGTCTTAACATATTTGTTATCTTGCCGTTCATATCTTCCTTGACGCTGCATCCTATCAACACTTTGTTTTAAAGAAGATACAACAGTTTTAAGTTCTTCAAACTCTTTTGACAAGTTATCTGTCTGCGAACTTCTTATCATTCCCTGCTGCTTCTTTTCAGCCCTGTAGAAAGCTTCCAGTTCTACAGCATGCCTTACTGCATCATTCAAATCAATGGGCCTAGCTTGTTTTATCTTGAGACGCATGTCTGAATTTACAAGTGCATCTATGAATTGTTCTTTAGCTAAAGTGTCACGAACATCTATAGGAGCATGAGGGTACGCCAAGTTTGCAAGACGACGAACATCTTGTCCAAGTTCAGCCATTGATTCAGTAGCTTTTTGATGTCTATCTCTCAACTGAACTCTATATAACTCAGTCTGATTTCTTGGTGAAAATCTATCTTCGAGTGCTCTCACAAGTTCCTCATAATTGTGTGTCTTTGATGTCAAATTTCCGAACACTCCTTGAGCTTGGCCTCGTAAAGATACAGATAAGTATAAACCTTTCTCATTTTCATTCCAACCATTCAAAGTTGCACAAGCGTCAAAGTGTGCTTTATAGTTTGTCCATTCACAAGTTCCGTCATAAGTTGCAGGTTTCATGAAAGTAGACCTTGAATCTTTTACTTTGTAATCAAAACTTTTGTCTGAAGTTTGATAGTTATCCAATTTATGTTGGTCATTCTGAGTTTCAGGGGGAAGCAAGTCAACAATCCTCCGTCTTTGGGTGATCATTCTGTCTTTCACATCCCTCTCATGTTTTTCACTTTGAATAGGCAATGACGGCAAAAGACGTCTAGGCTTTGAGGTAGTCTTTCTACTTGGTGTAAAACCTTCATAAGTATTTTCTGTTTTTACCATAGCAGGTGTTGATGTAGCCAGCTCAATACTTGTCTGGTCAATTTGTCTTTGAAGACTATCAATCTCTCTCTGGAGTTTCAGCCTACGATTCTCATTCCTAAGATTTTCCATTTCATCGTACATATAACAAAAGTCTTCATCGGACCATTTACTTCTATACTCAGCCATGTTCTTAAAAGTCTAGGGTAAGTAAGCCTATCTAAAGCTAGATGTGTCCCCCGTTGGGCGCCAATTTTGTAACGTGCACGGGCTAGCTGTTATATATAATTTTTCTTATGGCTACTTTGCCAGTTGATTGGTTACAAATGATTATACAATGATTTGTTCAAACTTTGGAATCAAGTTTAATTAACTAATGTTATAACAGTAATGTGCTTGAAAGATAATAAGTGGTCCTTGAACTTGATATAAAATTGGGGTGACACTTTTTAGGCTATTTAATATATATAGAAAAATCACTTGGATATCGAGTTTTCAATACTTTAGTAATAACAATTACACCTAACGCAATGTTAAATTGATGCAATTGAAATACTTCGTAAATAGTGCAAGAACCCAAGTAATTAAACTAAAATATTAATTAATTATTTCTGTGGTGTTGACACTTCGGCAGCTGGACAGAGACTGACTGTCCGCAGCTTTGAGCTCTATTTATACCCAATAATATAGTTATATTTAATGATCGTTTACTGAAGTTGAAGAAATCAAGCATCCAAGGGATATTGATAATGGTTCGAATATTGGTACGAATGGCATTGAGTTCGAATGATTTTAAGTACGAATTGTTCTGATATTTTAGAAATAATAAAAATATGCCCGTTATTGCTACGAATAAGTTGTTAAATCTATTCATTTAGTTTTTATGTATTATTTACTTATTTATAAAAGATCAAACTATACATTTAAACACAGGATAACATATTTGTTTACAATTTAATTCACCGACAATTTAGGTACAAAACCACTAAATCATTATAGAATCTAGGCAGAATAGAACAATCGTCACAATAGATATACTCTAGTTATATTTAACAATGTATTACCATTCTTATTAAATTATGGTTCTTGTACAAAAGTACAGGTGTTAATTAAGAGAAAGGTAAAACAAAATGCATGGTAGACAGATTACGTTATTAGTACTGTTGGTAATAAACAGCCTGAGTATTTCCTACATCCCCTGGAACAATGCCACAACTATACCTTACAACAGATCTTTCTGACATTAAAAATCCATCACTTACAAGTAAAATAATCAATCCAAGGTGAGATTATATACTTGATGTAATCACTCTACCTCTTTGTTATCCTTCATTAAAGTATCTTATATTTTTGAATGAAATAACTCAAGATGTAGTAATGGAATTGCTGGTGGAAATCAATACATCTTCACTGGTGGAAATTTTACATATTTTTTCCACCTTAGTGCAATAACTGGTTAACTCCTTATAAATTTAGAAGGACTTAACATGTTACTGCACTAAGGTGACAATATATAGACTTTAACCTGATAAACTTGTCTAGCTTC